GAGGGTGGGGTTGGGGGCTGTTTTCTCTCTTGGTTTCTCCTACGTGTGTGCAGAAAACAAACAAAAAAACAAAACAGGAAAACTAACCCAGACCCCTAGCATGTGCAGCAGAGGGAGGGAAAAACGAACGGGGAAGCTGAGGGAAAGCGGGAAGGCGGGAATAACGCATGCCTTGGCTCCGAACGGGAAGAGGGAGGATTTAGGAACAGGAAGGGAAGCCGGGCCCGGCTGGTGTGGCTCAGTGGTCGGCCTAGGAACTAGGATTGATTCCCGGTCAGGGCACAGGCCTGGGTTGCAGGGCTTGGTCCTCATTGGGGGGCGTGCAGGAGGCAGCCATTCTGTGATCTCCCTCATCTTTGATGTTTCTATCTCGTTCTCCGTTCCTCTCCGAAATCAATAAAAATATATTAAAACCAAAACAACAACAACAACAACACACACACACACACACACACACAGAAAACAAACAAACAAGGGAAGCCAGGAGCATTTGTGCGATGGAGCCCAGGTGGCTTCCGGACCATCTTCTCCGAAAGGGAGACTCAGGGATGAGGGGGTGGGGGCAGGGCTGTGCGCCCACCTCCTTCTGGCTAAGTCAGAGCTTTGGCACACACCTCCGGGTGCCTGCATTCCTCTCATAGTTTACACTACGGGAAATGATAAAGTGGAGGGAAAAAAACCCTGTTTGCTTTCCACCCTGGAGCGCTGGGAGGGGCTGGTCGCTGCCAAATTCTTTCCTAGGTCCTCGGCGGTGTTAGGTTCCTCTCTCCCGGGAGCCGGAGAGCCGGGGAGGCACCCGCAGCCCAGCCTCCCTGGCAAACGCAGAAAGGAGTCACTGTCTAGAGATCTGAAAGCAAGACGGTCTCACAGGGAGGAGGAGGACTGCCTTGGTTCTCTGCAGGGACCTTTGGACACAGGAGTCGAGTTTTTCCTGTCCACACGACTCTCAGAAACTGGGCGCCCCTGGGCATGGACACGGAGGGAGGGGAGAGGTACTGTGGGTGCGAATATCGATCCATCGACCGAGCACCCGGTGCCCGTGGGAGCCGAGCCTGCAGCAGCGAGGGCGAGGAGCTCCGGTCCTCCCACGCCTTCATGTGGGTGGGAGCCAGCAGGTGCACGCCGGGGCCAGCCCACCCGCACGCTCGGGGGCTGAATGCCCATGCCCTGCAGCCGGGGTCCCACTCATGGCTCCAGGGACGGCCTGTCCCCTCCCCCCAGACCCTTCCCGGCTCTTTCTGCTCCGTCCGCAGCGGGCGGTTTCAGGGACAGTGACAGAGGCAGCTGCTAACTGGGTCAGGGTTACTTAAAGTGGGACTGTTCTCCAGCTCCAAGCAACTATTTACTCCCCGGAATTAGGCAAGGATCCGCGATTGCAGGGCGCTCCCTGCTGAGCACATGGAAATTGTTGCCTAAGGATCCACCGCTTCCTTCTTTCTGATAAGAATTATCCTGGCGTTCCCCTGGAAGGAAAGTGTGTGTATGCTTACTGCACCCCGACCTTCCCCTCCGGCTCATATGTGTTTACTCAGTGAAAGGGCCCCGACCGAGGAGCCCATTCATTTCCATCCCTGGGGGAGTGGGCGGCAGGGGGGTGGGTGGTCAGGTGACTGCGGAGCCTGGGATGGTCAGGAAGGTGGCCTCTCTGCCTGAAGGACTTGGAGGACAAGTCGGCCAGGTACAGGTGTGGGGAGGCGGGGAGGAGCAGGGTAAAGGCAAGAGAGGACTGTCAGGAAGGGGGGGCAGCATGGCGAAGGCCCGGGGGTGATGGGATCTCCAGCTAAATCCCTAAAAGCGGAAAATCGTGTAAGTCGTCCTTGTGCTTCACTCTGGGTTACTGTTAAAAGATGAAATAGAGAGGGGGCCGGAGACCGGGATGGCAGGACACAGGCTTTATTGGAGGGAAGAGTACCACTGCCGGCTGCTTCCGGAGAGCACCTTTAAGGATAGGGGACGGGGCTTAGGGCACTCAGTGCACGCTGATGGGTGATTAAGGACCCAGGGACCTAGGAATAGGGAGCGGGGGCTTAGGGTATCTGGCAGGTGCTGATTGGTGGTTCAGTGCTCAGGAATGTCTGGCTGCAGGTGGGGTTTATGTTTGTCCATCAACTGGAGGAAGAGAGGATCTATCAACTGTGAGAATCAGATCAAGCAAAACCCCCCTTTTTGCAGCTTTGTGAACAGAACCCCAGGGCTCTTGGCTGCCTGGCAAATCCACCACATTCCCTGTAGCCAGGGGAGAATTGGCAATTTCCTCACCAAACCACCGGTGACATTTCTGAATTTCTGACATAGAAATGACCTGGAAGTCATTGGTGTGTAGTTCCTGGTGACATTGTGCATTCTTTTTTTTTTTTTTTTTCTTTTTTTAAAGAATATTTTTTATTGATTTCAGAGAGGAAAGGAGAGGGAGAGAGAGAGAAACATCGGTGATGAGAGAGAATTGTTCATCAGCTATCTCCTGCACATCCCACATTGGGGATGCAACCTGCAACCCCGGGCGTGTGCTCTAACCGGAAATCAAACCGTGACCTCCTGGTTCCTAGCTTGATGCTCAGCCAGTGAGCCATGCCGGCTGGGAAGACATTGTGCATTTTTTAAACTAAATGTTTACCATCAGGAAGCAATTCGTCTTAACCTTACAAGTCAGAGTTTTTCTCAAATTCTGAAAATGCCTCTTCCCAGTGCTGCAAATTATTTTTTTTTCCACTGGTGTGCGTGGGTCTTAATACCCTTGCACCTATAGACATAGGATGGCAGTTTATGCTTGTGCATATGTGTCTCCACACAACACACACCAACCGGATTTATATCTTTGCTCTGTCACACACCGGGTTTCACAGGGACACGATGGTGCCCACCTCACCGGGTGTCCAGGTTAAATGGGGTCTTGTTTGCAAAGAGCTTAGCGCAGTGCCTGGCACGGTGTTCGCTTTGAATAAATGGTAGCTATTATGTACACGGAAGAGAAAGAAAAAAAAAAAAAAGACTGTCCTAAAATGTTGGCATTTATCTCTAGTGGGTGGGATTACGGTTACAATGAACATCTATTACTTTTGTGATCAGAGATAAAGAACAAGAGTTGTTATTATTAATTTTAAATTCTGGCTTTCTTTGGCTCTGGCAGGAGGAACCTGTAGTTAATGTCAGGGCACCAGCAGGCAAGAAAGACAAGGCATCCGGTTCTATACCCGGACTTTAAACACAGACAGCAACCCCCCATACCTCCCCTCCACCCCGCCATCAAATCATAGGAACAAAGGGAGATAGTTGGTCAGGAGTCTAGAGGAATTTCGCTCTCCTCCAACCTTGCAATCCCCCTGACCACTGCTGTCTGGAGGGCCAATAGGGGGATTCCCAGATGGTAACTCCAAAATTATGGCCTGGGTTCCCTGAGGTTCTTATCGGGAAACCTCTAACTCTCCAGGGACCCATTCCAGCCATGTGACACGCATCCTCTGCTGGGCCTAGGCCGGGGCATCGCTGTTAGAATATAAAATACACGCAAGCCCACTCCCACTGGGGGGTTTGTGAATGTCCCGGCCTGGCTTCCAGAACACGCCGAGGCCCAAACCTTGGCTCTGTCTCTGGTGGAGATTCTTGACCACCAGCCCAGCGCCTGGGCAGCAGCAGGAGACGGAATCGCCCGGAGCTGCACCTCGCCCCCTCCTCCCTTCCCCAAGTCCCCTCTCTGCTCCTCCCAGGCTGTCCCCTGAGAAGCGGGAAGGGGCAGAGTGCCCACCCTGCTCGGATTATCTGCGGAGCCATCAGCTTGCACCGGGCTGGCTTCTGAGCGTCTTTCTTTCTCCTCCTTCCGCACCCGGAGGGGGATCTTGCCGCAGACTCGGGAGTAAAAAGCCGCCTCTGTTTGGGAGACAAAGAACAGAGTGGCTCCTCCGGTCAGCTGTCTCTCCTTGGCTCCCCCAGGCATCCGTGAAAGACGGCCTTCCAGGGCCGGCCTGGGAGTGCTCCCACCCCCAGCCGTGCTGTCACTGGGGCTTAAAGGAATACGTGACCTTAAAAATCCCTGGTACCTTTCCTGCTCTGGTGGATATTAATTTGCCTGGGGGTAAAGGGGAGTGGGGGAGGGGGGGACGGACACTGCCCCGTCTGGAGAGGCAGCCTGCCTGCCCTCTGTATTCCTATGAGAGCTGGTAAGAGCACGTGTGTGAGACGTGCGAACATGCATGTGTGTGCACTCACCAGTGCGCGAGAGCTCGCATGAAAGCGTGTCCTCGGGTTTAAAAGATTGTGTGTGCTAGAGTGTGAGGGAACGAGTCACAGCATTGAGAGACCCTGCGTGCGAACGTGTGGAAGGGCGCCTGTGTACAAGCATAAGGTTTGTGGGAAAGCATGTGGGCCCGTGTGCCAAGCGTGTGCCTGTGAAAGTGTACACCTGTACCCACAGCATGCAAGCGCGTGTGTGAATGTGTGTGCTAGAATGTAAAAAAGAATATGAACTAGAGTCAGGAGTGCGACGGACAGCAAGGAGGCATGTCCCTGTACATGTGAGTGCCAGCTGGTGCGTGCGCGTTTCTCCGAGGAGCTGAGGGCGTGTGTGTGTCAGAGTCCAAGTTTAGGTGCAAAAGCAGGTGTGTACGCACTAGAGGGGGAATGCATTGGAGCATGGATGAGGGGCGTGTGTACTGGTGGGTGCGTGCACGCGGGAAGGTATGAGCATGCGTGTGCAAGCACGCACGTGTGCACCAGCGTGTGCGAGGGCGAGGGGCCCGGGCACCGGGGGGCGGCCTGGGCGGAGCTGGGGGAGATGCGGGGTGTGCGGGCCCGCGGGAGGGTGTGCGGGAGGGGGTGCGGGCCCGCGGGAGGGGGTGCGGGAGGGGGTGCGGCCCCGCGCGGGTGTGCAGAGCGCGTGCTCGCGGCGCCGCCGCCCCCTCCGCGGCCGGAGGTTGCCATGGGGACGCGCCGCGGCGGGCGATCATTTCCTGCGGAAAGCGTGCGGGAGGGGCGGGGGCGGAGCGGGGCCGGGGCCGCGGGCGGAGCTCCCTCCCGGGCGGGCCGGGCGCTGCGGCGGCGGCGAAGCGGGGACTGTGCCTCCCGGGCCGGTGAGTCGGGGCCGGGCGGGCTGGGGGCGGGCTGGCGCTGGGGGGCCCATGCCCGGAGCGCCCACCGGGAGCCGCATCCCGGCCCACTCTGCCCGCGGAGCCGCGTGCCCGACCCGCCCCGCGCCCCCTCCTCTCCCGCATCCTCCTCCCCTCTCCCTCCCCCTCCGTGGGGACCCGGTGCAGAGCGGGGCATGGGCGGCACGGCGCGTCCCTAGAGCAGCCTGGCCCCCCCCCCTTTCCCCCCCTTTTTTTTTCTTTTTTTTCCTTTTTTCCCCGTTTCATTGGCCGGCAATGCGGGACCCCCCCGGGGACCCGCGTGTCCTCAGCGCCGCCCCCTCCCTTTGCAGGGTCCCCGCACCCGGGGCTCCCTAGGAGGTTGCAGCTTCTGGCCCTCCCACCGCCCATGACCCTGGGCAGTTACCTTCCCCCCTCGCTGGGCGGAAGGGGTGCGAGGGGGGGGGGGGGCGGTGCGGGCGGGCCCCGAAGTCAGGAAGGAGGCCTGGGCCTCTGCCTCCTGGGAGGGGGAGACCTGAGTGATTGACAGCAGCAGCCTGGGGGTCCCCGCAGGGCGAGCCAGCCAGAAGCCACCTCCTCCCCCTCCTGTGAGTTAGAGCAGAACTCTGGCCCCGGGAGGGCCTGTCCTGGGGGAGGTTCCAGAGGAAGCTGTGTCTAAATGCTCAGGAACTGCCCCAAGCCAACCCCCAACACGTGTGTCTCGGGGGTGGGTGGCGGCCACCCCTGGGCTGTCACCTTCCCTGGGAGCTCGCCAGGCTCAGGCTGGCGGGGCGCTGCCGCCCCTTGCCCGGCCGGGTTCCCCGTGCCCTTGGCGAAGTAGCCGTCTCCTTGGCCAGCGAGAGGAGAGTCATGTGCAAGGAATGCGGCCTCCTGTGTGTTCAGGGACTGGACGTCAGGGACACAGCGTGCTTGGTTCCGCCAGCCCCATGGGCACAAACGGGGGCAGAGGCTTTGAACTCGGGGCGGCCCTGGAAAACCCAGGACAGGACGGGGACTGCGTGTAGGGGCGGTCCCAGCTCCTGGCCAGCCTCCCTGACCTGCTGCCCGCTCTCCCAGGAAGACAGAGCCCTCCCCAGTAATAGTGTCTGGGCCACGAGTGTGTCCCTCGGTCATTGCGATGTCCCTGGTCTGGAGGGAGAGAGGGAGGGACAGGGTTGTGGTGAGGTGGGGGCTGCAGAGAGGCAGGGCTGTCCCTGGAGCCAGCCCCTCTGCATTCGTCCATGCCTGGAGGGAGATCTGAAAAAGGAAATGTGTGAGTTCTTTGGAAGCACAGGTACTGTTCCAAACTCGTTATCTATGCATTGCCTAATCCTTCTCCTGACTCCGTGTGGGTGGCGTGGTCCCCATTTTCAGATGGAGAGAATGAGGCCCAAGGTCACACACCTAGCAGGTGGCAGAGCCCGGTTCTGGACCAGCTTTTGGTCCCGGCTACTCCAGCAGCATCCCCCAAGGCCCCCCCCAGGAGCCCTGGGGGGGGGTGTGTGCAGCCCCAGCCTGGGGCTAATTTGAGCCCTCCGTACTTTTGACCTTCACGCTGCCCTCTGCTAAATCCATCTGCTGCTTCCTCTTCAGGATCTGGCCCCCACCCTTCCTCTTTCTCCCCGAGATCTTCCCGGTCGCCTCCCCGACTTCCCTTCCAGAAAGTCTCAGGAATATTGTCCTTTCCGGTCCCCACCCCGCCGACTTGGCCATGGAGTTGACCTTCAGAGTCCTGTTTGGCCTGCCGATGGAGCCCGTCTCTCCCTCCTGGCCCACCGGGCAGCTGGGAGTCCAGGTTGCTCGTGTGCCCAGCTCTGTGCCAGGCAGCCCGGAGGAGAGGATGTCTGGCGGCTCCCGCTGGTTCTTTCCACGCCTCTCTGGCCCGTGCCCAGCTCCTCGGGAACCGGCCCACGTACCTGGCTCAGCTGCTGCCCGCCCCTTCGGCCCACATCCTGCCTCCAGCCCAGAGAGACTGCACCCAGGAGCCTCCTCCTGCGAGTCGTCCGCCTCCGTGAAGGGAGGCAGGGACCAGGAGCGGCCGGCCGGAGCCTGGCCTGCTCCCAGGGCTCAGCTTTGCCAACATCGGTCACCAGGTCTCCGGGCCACCACCTGTCCCTGCGCTCTCCCGCCTTTTGTCTCTCAAGGCCTCCACCGTTCCTGCCCCTCTGCCCACCCAGCGTGTTCCAGCGGCTCCTCCGTACCACGTCCTCTGGGTCCAGCCTCTCCTCCCCACCCTCGCCAAGCTTCTTCCCCGAAGAGAAGGGTGTAGGGGATTCTTGGAGCCCCTGCCCACTGCGGGTTTGCCCATCTTGCTCCAAGGACATTGTCCCTTACAGAACGCCCCAGGGTCTTTGTTCCAGTTTGGCCTCCCTGTGGCAGGTCTCCGGGAAGTAACCATCCTCTCCCTCCCACTTACCTGTCAGCTCAGGACTCTGCATCCGCCTGGTGCCCCTGCCACCTTCCTTCTCCAGCGTCCCTTCCGGCCAGGAGCGAGCTCTGTCCTCCTGGTTGCCTCTCGTCTTGCAGGACCCTGGGTGACTGTGTCCTCCCCTGAGGCTCCGTGTCCAGCCCTGCTCTCTTGCAGGTGTCAGTGCGAACCTTTGCGTTTACTTCCGGGCATTCGATCAAAAAGCCGTTGCTGACTATTTGATCTGGGTGAGGCCGCAGCGCCGGGCCTGGTGCTGTGGGGCTGCAGAGATGAGCACGCTGCCTGGCCGGTGTGGCTCAGTGACTGAGCATCGACCTATGAACGAGGAGGTCACAATTGGCTTCCCGGTCAGGGCACAGGCCTGGGTTGCGGGCTCCATCCCTGGTGTGGGGTGTGCAGGAGGCAGCCGATCAGTGATTCTCTCTCATCAGTGATGTTTCTATTTCTCCCTCTCCCTTCCTCTCTGAAAGCAACACACACAGACACACACACACACACACACACACACACACACATACACACACGAGTGGCCAGATTAGTTATGAACTCTGAACGCATAATAATCTGGCCACTCAGTGTACTTCTCTTGAGTACCTCCTTTATTTGATATCAAAGATACTATAAATCGTGCACCTGATCAGTTTTCCCCTTTGCACTGGCTGATAGAAAGCTCAGGGCAAATAGGTGGTTGATCTCCAGGAAAAGTCGAGAATACTTTTGGTGCCCAGTTGAGACACAAATACACCGAGTTGCCAGATCAGAGATCATAATAATCTCTGTGTGTGTGTGTGTGTGTGTGTGTGTGTTTAAAAAGACGAACATGCTGTGAGCTCCGCGCTGAGGAGCCATAGAGGGTCAGAGGTCAGAGGAGATGGACACCCTCTCTGTTCACAACTGATGTCTGAGTGCCTGGCAGCAAGCAGCCAGTGCCGTGACGGACAGGGGAAGTGGTCTTCCACCCCGGCAGGGCCACCAGGAAGCCCTCGGTGTCTCTCCGAGCTGACGTGTGGCTTCTTCTGCAAAGGGCTTCCCGTTTGTCTGAGTCTGGGTCTATCACTTAGTCACCTGAAAGGCCCTCGAGGCTGCTTTGCACACAGTAGGTGCTCAATAAAAAAAAAAAGCTTGCTCTGCGCGTGCAGAAAGTCTGGTCAGTGCATTTGCTCAGTTTACACGGGACCTGTGGAGCTTCCTGTCCAGCCCCGTGCTCCCCCAGCCCCCATTCTCCTGCCACTCTGGCATCTCCCACAGTGTTTACCTCCCTCCCTACAGGGAGCTTTGAGGCCCTGTTTCTCCTGATCTAAGAGACGCCCCCCCCCCTCCTCCACCTTTGCAGGTGCTTGGCACACAGCAGGCACCCCATAAATAATTATTAAATGAAGAAGGGACGAATCTCTGTAGTACCTCAACGCCTAGCCAGCTGCCTGCTGTGCTGGAGGCTTGGAGGGAAGGCTCAGGCTTGGAGGGAAGGCTCGTTGGAGGGTCTGAGTGAGCTGACTGTAAGAGAATGTGACACCTGAACCCAATTTGTCACCGGCGACCCCCGCAGGGTCCCTTCCGATTAGATTTACAGCGATGCCCCTGACTCACGGTGTGAGGCATGTCTGCAAGCTGCCAGGCCCCCTGCGGAGGGGCTGCGATGCGGGGTCTCCACGTGGTGCTGCAGGACCCCCCCCCCCCCCCCATGGTCTCCTTGCAGAACCTCCCTATCCTGAATGTGCCATCAGGACCCGACGGCCATGGGGGCTGGCGCTCCGGCTTGGCCCGTGTGTTCCATCTCGTCTCTCTCTCCCTCTCTCCCCGCAGGCTGCCGGGCGCCCGGGGGAGGCCGCGGATCCCCGCCGGGCCATGGTCCAGTCGCGCCGGACCTGGCACCCGGGAGCCCCGCCCGCGCTGCGCGGCCCCTGGAGAGTGGGCCGGGCCCCGGAGGAGCCGGCGCTGCGGGGGATGGCCCGCCCCGCCCCAGCCAGCCCGGCCGCCCGCCCTTTCGCACACACCGGCCCGGGGAGGCTGAGAACTGGTGAGTCCGCATTTTTAAAATGCCTCTCGATCTCCCTTCTTCCTTCCTCCCTCCCTCCCTCCAGACGCCGGGGAGGAGAGCGGGGTTTCTCGCCGGCTCCTGGGCCCCGTTCCGAGCTGTCAGGTAAATTACAGGGTCGGGGAGCCGGGAGCCGGGCGTGGAGGGGGAGCGGCAATCGCGCCCTGGCTGCTGGCTGCTGGCTGCGCACAGAGGAGGCGCCGGGGCCGCACAGACGCCGAGTTAAACTTTAACGCGGTCCCCGGGGCGCGGGGAGGACGCTGGCCGCAGCCACGCGGCCCCAGCCCGGCCAGGTCAGCCGGTCCTTGGCGGAGGCTGGGGTCCCCCTGTGGTTCCTGCCACCGGCGGCGGCTGGTAAACAAGGTAGGCGAGGTGGCTGCCCCGTGGCCGCCCCATCCCTGCGCGCTCGGGACACCTGATCCCGCCCGGGCTGGCCCGCGGAGGGTGGACCGAGGCTGCCCGGGAGCGGGGCCGGCAGGGTTTGGGCGGGTACCCACCCAGGTGGCACTGGGAGGACCCCCATAGCAGGTGGGCAGCGAAGGAGCCCCCGGATCTGGGTCCCCCCCACAGGCCGTCCCCCCTGGGGAGCTGTCAGCACCAGCTCTCCTTTCTGGGTCACGTCCCCTGGTGCCGCCAGCAGCCAGCAGTGAGTGGCAGCTCTGATTATGGGTCGGGGCTGGATTGTCCGGCTCGTCCGGGGTGGGGAGCTGCCCTGGACCCTTTCCCCAAGTCCGGCCCGGGCAGGTCTCCCTCGAAGTGTCAGCGGGGAGAGGCGTCCGTCCTCGGGGAAGGTGGCCTGGGGCGTGTGTGCGGTGGTCTCTCGTTCTTGACCCACAGGGGCAGGCGTTCAGTTTAGGGCCCCGTGAGCTGGCCGTGTCCCCCACTGCTGTCAAGTCCAAGCCCATCCATGGAAGGAAGGGAAACTGAGGCGCAGAGAGGGCACATGGCAGACTCCTCTCGGGCTCTCGCTCTCGCCCACCACATTGGGGCCGACACGGCTCTCTGCACGGGAGAGCGAGGCGGGGTGACCCTGGGGAGCGGCGGGAAACGAACGCTTGGGCTTTGGGGTCAGGCAGCCCCAGGTGTCTGGCAGGGACCTACGGTGGTCTCCACCCCACAGGATTGTCTTAAGGATTGCAAGTGGAATAGGAAGTAGCTTTGCTTTTCTGGTTTTTAAAAAAAAGCAAGAAGAAAAAAACCACACCAAAACAACCACCAAAATTTGTGCCCTTAAAAACTGGGAAAAAGAAAAAAAAAAAGAAAAGAAAGAAAGAAAAAAAGACAACACCCCAAACCAAAAACAAAGTCTAAGAAATAAAATAAGCCCTGACCCGGTGGCGTGGAGTGGTGTCCCGTAAACCAGAAGGTCACAGGTTCGATTCCCGGTCAGGACACATACGAGTACTTAGGTTGTGGGTTGAATCCCTGGTCAGGGAGCATATGGGAGGCAATTCATAGATGTTTTTCTCTGTCAGAGGGGGGGGGGGGTGTGGGGAGAGGAAATAAAAATCACTTACAGGCACACCATGGAAACGTGGAGGGTTCGGTTCCAGGCTACAACAAAGGGAGAATGGCAATAAAGTGAGTCACAGACTTTAGGCCGGTGGCAGGTCTTGCCTTCAGTTTGTAAAAATCACAGTCTCTGTGGTAGGCAGTAAAGCGAGGCACGGGAAGAAAATGCCCTGTGAGCTTGTCACTGAGCGTTTGTATGGTTCCTCCAGTCCTGTGTGTGCATGCGTGCGTGTGTGTGTGTGTGTGTGTGTGTGTGTGTGTGTAGGTCTGTCATATGAGCATTATGAGTATTCTGTACATGCTTTTAGCCACTTTAAAAATCTGAGACAAAGCTCACATGAAATCCTGTGTGTGAAAAGCTAAGCCCAGTGCCTGTGACTGGGTAGGGTCTCAGCCAGTGTGGTTCACCTCAGCCCCCACCTTTCTGGGTACCTGGCACTGTGTGAGCACTTTATTTTTAATTTTAATTTTAATTTTGTGTGTGAGAGCACTTTATGTGCGTCACCCATTTTGTCCTCACCACAGGGCTGTGAATTTGATTATTTTTAAAAATGTTTTTTAAGTTTGATTCTCTCTCTCTTTTTTATATTCCATAGTATTTTATTTTATTATTTTAAAAAATATATATATTTTATTGATTTTTTACAGAGAGAAAGGGAGAGGGATAGAGAGTTAGAAACATTGATGAGAGAGAAACATCCACCAACTGTCTCCTGCACACCCCCCACTGGGGATGTGCCCGAAACCAAGGTACATGCCCTTGTCCGGATTCGAACCCGGGGCCCTTCAGTCCACAGGCCGAGGCTCTATCCACTGAGCCAAACCGGGCAGGGCTATTTTATTTTACTTTTTCCCATTTTTAAAATTAAGGTGTAATATGTGTACATATCTTACCATTGCTGCCCCCTCACCCCACTCCCATACAGGCCCCCACCCCCCAGTGTTGAGTCTGATTCTTTATCCCCATTTCATTGACAAGGAGACTGAGGACCAAGGAGGGCATTACAGTCTGGAGAGCACTTGGCTGGCACTGAGGAGATCATCCCAGCCCAGGCTGGCGGTTCTGCCATTTGCCCTGTGAGGCCAGCCCCTCCACCCCTCCAGTCCCACAGGCCGTGGTGGGACGGATGGGTGTCGCTGCCACAGTCAGCTCTCTCCCCCGTCTGTCCGTCCGGGGAGAGAGGCGGTGTCAGAGGCCCAAGGGATGTGCTTTTGGAGGGAAGGCCGCAGGGGCCAGGCCACCCAGCGTGGGGCTGGCACTAATGAAGGCTGGGGAAATGGCCACCTAGAGGCAGCCGGGGTAACAGCCGGGCCCTGTGCTGATGGGCACAGCCAGGCTGGCATCGCTTCCTCTGCTGCTCCCTGCAGCCGGTGCTCCCTGCAGTGCGAGCTCCCAAGCCACCCAAGAGAGGAGGAAGAGGGAGGAGGGAGCAGGGAGCAGGGAGGAGGGAGGGGAGCCCTGCAGGGTCCTGGGCGCCCTCCTGTAGAGACTCCTGGAGCAGCTTCTGGGAAGACAGGAGCGCAGCCCCTGCCCAGTGCCAGGCGTCCCTCCGTGCAGGGCAGGCGTGTGGCAGCGTGTGCAAGCCGAGCTCCACTCAGTGGTCGACAAGCCAGCTGTCAGAGTCTCACCATCTTTTCTGTCCTGGCACAGGGCGAGGGAAGGACACCCCGGCCGGCGGCGGCCATGAGGACCCCGGAGCCCGCAGCGGGGCCCGCCCAGCCCTAGCCCAGTGCCGGGCCCTCAGCGTGGACCGCGCCGGCCCCGGGAGCCCCCGCCGGCTCTACCTGAGCGTGCAGGTAACGGGGGCGGGGGGGGGGCTTCCGAGCCGCGAGGGGGCCGGCCAGGGGGGTGCATCTGGCCTCTGAGCTGTAGTGCTGGGTCCCTACAGGCTTCTGGGGGTGGGGGACTCCGAGGGAGGGCTAGCGACCTGCCTCGTGCCTCTGCCAAGCTCCCCTCGGCACATGCGCCCGTGAGCCTGCGTAGACGCGGCAGTTTGCTTTGCCGGGTTATGTCGGAGGAACTATTAGGAGATGACAGAAGCTCTCCAGCTGAGGTTTGAAATTGTGAAGCGCAGGGCCTTCTCTGAGAAGCTGTTAGGAAGGCGGGCCGGTTGGAGGGCAGCCGTCTATTCCCGCTCCGCCGTGAGTCTGGGGGGCAGTTCTTGTATTTCCTCTTCATCGAAAGCCGCCGTCCAAAAGCTGGGCAGCGGGGCTTTGCCAAAACGTGGGTCCTTTTCTCTTGCACTTACCACCAAACAACTCTCAAAAGGCAGACTTTGCATCAATACGTGTATTCAGTTGCAGAAAAAACAAACAAACAAACAAACAAAAAAACCCAGAATGACAGCGGTAAGATTAGCTACTGTTTATGGAACGCCAGCTCTGTGCCAGGCACGGCGCCGGGCACGATGTATCTCACAGCCGTCCCCGTGAACAGTCTGAAGACAGCCTCTGTCTCGCCGAAGCTTTGTGGGGGGAGTCAGAGAGGTTCAGAGAGGTTAAGCGCGTTGCTGCTGGCGGCACAGCACTCCATAGGACCTGACCCCCACTCCATGGGACTCGCTGTATCACGTGACGCGAAGAGTCTGCACGGGGCAGAGAGATGCGAAACCGAGGCTCCGAGTGCCTCCCCTGCCTGGCGCTGTGTCTCCGAGGCATCCGCTGGCCAGCGCTGAGGGTTTATCCTTCTCACGCACCCACTGAACCATACTCATAACCGTTCTGATGATTTATGTCCGCATCCCGCCCTGCAGCTGGCTCTTTCCTTCCACAGCCAGCCTTGGTGACTTCTTCCCCAGCACCGGTATTTAGAGAAAGACCACCTTCTTTTATTTGTTATTTATTTTTATTTTATTGTATTGATTTTTTTACAGAGAGGCAGAGAGAGGGATAGAGAGTTAGAAACAGCGATGAGAGAGAGACATCGATCAGCTGCCTCCTGCACACGACCCACTGGGGATGTGCCCGCAACCAAGGCACATGCCCTTGACCGGAATCGAACCTGGGACCCTTCAGTCCGCAGGCAGATGCTCTATCCACTGAGCCAAACCGGTTTCGGCGAGACCTCCTTCTTTTAAACTGCCGCAGAATATTCCACTTCTGGCCGAAACCGGTTTGGCTCAGTGGATAGAGCATCGGTCTGCAGACTGAAAGGTCCCAGGTTTGATTCCGGTCAAGGGCATGTGCCTTGGTTGCAGGCACATCCCCTGTGGGGGGTGGGCAGGAGGCAGCTGGTCGATGTTTCTCTCTCATCTACAACTCTAGTTCTCTATCCCTCTCCCTTCCTCTCTGTGGAAAATCAATAAAATTAAAAAAAAAAAAGAAAAAGAAAAAAAAGAATATTCCACTTCTGGGCTCACCGTGGACTTTCTGACGGACCCCCTGTATTACCTGTGATCGCGGCGAGCTCCGTATATACCTGCACATCCACGCAGTTTAGCGCCGAGTAGCTTTAGGACGGCGCAGGCTTGTGCTTTTGCAATGCGTCTGCTTGTTACCGCCTGTTTAGGGAGCGCTTGCTCCATGCCACGGGCTGTGTGAGGTGCTGACACTCGGCAAGAAAGAGGCAGACACTGCAGTCTGGTGGAGGAGCTGGGGAGGAGTCGGATGATTGCAGACGTGGGCATGCCGACGGGCGAGGGCCACCGCTGTGGAGGCAGCGGATGAGGGACCAGCCTTTACTGGGCGTGTGGGCAAGCCACGCCCATCCCACGAGGGGGAGGTCCACGTGCCCTCTGAGTGCGCCCTCCCTCGTGTGGACAGAAGTCCTGGTCCCAGGCGCTGTCTGGCCCCAATTTTCTTTTCTTCTTCAAAATAAGACTTGCTTCTGTGTATGTGTGAGTGTGTGTGTGTTTTAAATCCTCACCTGAGGATATGCTTTTATGGAGAGAGAGGAAGGGGGGGAGAAATAGAGAGAGTAACATCGATGGGTTGCCTTCCATATGTGCTCCGATCAGGGATCTGACCCACACCCTTTTGATATGTTCCAACCAACGGAGCCCCCTGGCCAGGGCTGGTCCCAAGGCTTTTTTTTTTTTATTATTATTATATATTTATTGTTGAAAATATTACCTTTCCCCCAATTGACTCCTTCTAGCCCACCCTGCCCAGAGCCCCAGGCCTTCACCACCCTATTGTCTGTGTCCATGGGTTATGTGTATATGCATCTTCCCACCCGCCCGCACTCTGTTCCATGCTTCTGTGTCCATTTTGTTCATCAGTTTATTTGTTTCATTCGAGTCCACATGTGAGTGAGATCAAGATCAAGTGAGATCTTGTCTTTCTCTGACTGGCTGATTTCGCTTACCTCATACTCTCCAGGTCCCTCCAGTGCTCACTCGAAGGATAAGATTCTTCTTCTTCTTCTTCTTTTATTTATGTATTTATGTATTTATGTATTTATTTATTTTATTGCTGCGCAGTATTCCACGGTATGAATGCACCACAGCTTTTTTATCCGCTCGTCTACCGATGGGCACCTGGGCTGTTTCCAGATCTTAGCTGTTGCAGATGGTGCTGCTGTGAACATAGGGGTGCCTGTTTCCTTTCTGCCTGGTGTTTCTGGTTTCTTAGGATAAACTCCCAGGCATGGGATCCCTGGGGCCAATGGGAGTTCCACGTTTAATTTTTTCTCGAGGGAACGCTGTTTTCCATAATGGCTGCGCCGGCCTGTGTTCCCCCCAGCCATGGACTGGGGCTCCCTGGTCTCCACATCCTCGCCAGCTCCTGCCTTTGTTGACTGGGTGATGGGAGCCAGTTCTGACAGGCGTGAGGGGGCACCTCACTGTCGCCTGGATTTGTGTCTCCCCGGTGATCAGGGACTCTGGGGAGCCCCAGGCCTCATCCGCACGGGGGCCCCGAGCTCGCTGTCACTTCCGAGACAGCGTGGTTTTCCGTGGCCCTTCTTGCATGGCTCATCCGAAAATACCACCACACCGTCCTGATATCCATCAGCTTCGTGAGGAAAGCGTGCCTGGCCGGGGTGAGAACAGTTAAAGACGCCGGAGAAGCCGTTTGCCCCCTGAGCCGAGCCGCTGGTGGTTAACTCCGGAGGTGGTCAGAGCCGGCTGCCCTGAGCTGGGCGGCGGCTCCGTTCTTGAGCTTTGATTACGGGGTGTCTGTCGGGTGGTGCTTGCCGCCCATCTGCCGGGGTCAGCAGATCCGCCGAGGAGCTCTGCGGAGCTCCAGCCAGCAGCCCATGTCCGTGACCGCGTCCGTCCGTCCGTCTCTCTGTTCTTCTCTCTGTCCGTCCGGGCCCCGCCGAGTCTGTCGTGGTGACGGGGCTTCTCGGGGTCGGGGAGGTAGGGCCGAAGCAGGGAGCCGGGCTCAGGGAGGCGACAGCAGGCCGAGCCGCCCTCCCGGCCAGCCTCCTACGCAGCTGGATGAACCCCCTCGAAATCCCCCCCCTCCCGGGGCAGGGGGGCCGGCTGCCCTCCCTGTGGTCTGGCCGGCGGGCCAGAAATAGTGCAGCCTCTGCTCTGGTCGGCAGCTGGAAGTTTCCATGTGCCTCTGACAAGCCTGCTCGAGCTGGTGTGGCCGTGGGTGGCGGGGCGGGGACAACACAGAGTTGGCAGCTTCTCCCTAAGTCTGAGGGCCGGGCTGTCCGTCCGCCCTCCCTCCTCCAGTCCAGCGTGGTGGGGTCGTGGGGGTCCAGCGAGAGGGAGGGAGCGGGTGGCCAACTGACAGCCTGCTGCTGTCGCTTCTCGCCTCTCGTCGGTTCCCTCTCCGCTCTCTTTGGGGGTCAAAGCAAATCACCGGGAGATACAGAAACACAGACATTACCCTGGCGCGGAGGTCTTGCCCTGTGCCAGAGCCCGGAGCAGCTGTCGAAGGCACCGCCGTTCCTTCCTGTACCGGCTCCTCGCGGAGGGCGGGTGGGGGATCGTTTCGGTATAAAGAGGGGGGAGCAGGAAGCTTCGGGGGAGGAAAGGAGCTTGCCCAGAGCCACGCGGCTCCCAGGCGGCAGGGAGCCGTTTTAAAACCAGAGCAAGGGTCTCTCTGGGACACGGTGGGCTCAGGGACACACAGGACACTCCTCAGACAGCTCTTCCCGGTAACCTCTGTTGATGTTTAAAAAACAAAGCGTGCGGTAGCCTGAGCCTGTCTGGCTCAGTGGATAGAGCGCCGGCCCAGAGGACGGAGGGGTCTCGGGTTCGATTCCCAGTCCAGGCCACGTACCTCGGTGGCAGGCTCGATCCCAGGCCCCAGTCAGGGTGCCTGTAGGAGGCAACCAACCCATGTGTCTTTCTCACATCTCTCCCTCTGAACATCACCGGGGAAATACCCCCAGGTGAGGATTCACACACACACACACACACACACACACACCACTGCAGGTGTGTATAAGGTTAAAAACACAAGTGTCCACGGGTTCAGAATGAGATGGAAAGCCTCCCTCTGCTCCTTCCCACATTCTGTTTTCTCTCTTTATTCTCAAAAAAGTTTGAATGACGCACGTTTCTCCTCTCTCACCGACCTCCCTGGAGAACCCCTCTGTGTTTCCCGGATGTTTTTTATCGAGGAGTGTCTGATTTCCACGGTCCTCAAAGCGGGTGTTCTTACCCCGGACGGCTTTCTGGCGAGCTGGGGTGACTGATTTCGGGGGGTGGTGGTGGGGGCTGCGAGGAGGGGGCTTCTTTCCCTCCCCTCCTCCCCCCTGCTCGCCGGGCAGCTCTGCCCTGCCTTCTTGCCTTTGACTGGGAGATGGTCCCAGGGTCCCTAGATGTCTGGCCAGGACCTTCCCCTGCCTGCTTGGACCCGCGGGTGCCCTCCTTGGGAGCCGTCGGCTGGTGCCAGCTGGAGGGGGGGCGTTGGGCATCCTGGGGGCAGTGGCCTCAGACTGCCAAGTGCCTGAGTGGAGCCAGCTGCTGCGTGGGAGACTCAGGCCCCATGGGGCCAAGAGGACGGTACCTGAGGTTTCCTAAGTGCCCAGCGGAGAGGGCCGGCTGCCAAGGGGACACACCGCCCCTGTGTTGTCGCAGGATCTGGGCACCTTGTCTTCCAGACTCCAGGCCTGTCTGTCCCCGTCGACCGGCACAGCGAGGGGGGGGACCCGCGGGCCCGGGTCCTGCCAGCTCCGAGAGTGCCCTGCTCTCAGGGTCACGGGCGCCCCCCACCCCCCGTGGCCCCCTTCACGTGAGGATTCTGGTTGTGTCTTGGCAGCAGGCCCAGCAGGACAAGGGGTGCAAGCACAGGAGTCAGGGGCCGAGAGAAGAGAAGCTGCTGAAGAGGCAGGCGCCGGCCCCCGGGCGGGACCGGGAGGCCCAGGACGCAGGCGGCGGCGGCGGCACCATGAATGTAGAGAAAGCAGGTAACGGAGGACGTCCGCCCGCCAGCCCGGAGCGGCCCCGGCGAAAGCTGGCTGGAGGGCGGCTCAGAACCGTCCCCATACACGCTGTCCTCCTCGCCAGAGGCGGCCCGTCCACATCCTGGTCGCCTGGACGCGGAACTCACCCCCCAGCCTGCCCAGCCCTCCCCTGAGCCCCCCTCCCCGCGCCAGGGAGATAAGAGGCGTTGGCGGGCGTGGGCCGGGGTTGGGTTTCCCCGCTTTTCTCTCTTCCCGGCGCCTGTCTAAGCAGGGCGGCCGTCTCGGCTCAGAGATGCTGCCCACGGCTAGCAGAGAGGCCTGGCCGCCTCCCCCTGCACCTCGGGGTCCCGGAGGCCCTGGGTCCGGGCCCCCCTCTGCTGCCTGAGGCCGGGAAGCAGGAGCCGGCGGCTCCTCTCTCCCCCAGCAGGACTGACTCCCGGGAGATGCTGGGGGCGCCTTCGTGCGATCCCCCCCCCCCCAGGGGGCCTGGCCTGGTGGTCCCTGGGCAGGCTCACCCTCCGGGCGCCCGCCCATGGGGGAGGGACGGGCGGTGGAAAGAACGGGCCGGTCTTCCCCTGGCTGTCCTTGCCCGGCACCTGGCCGATTTGTGCCTGAACTTGCCTCGCGGTGGAAGCACCTAATCCGTCCTCTGAGTCCGTGCCAGAGCCGCGCTCGCCCGTCTGCCTGGGCGGGCACTCCGGTGTTTGGCGGCAGGTGTGGGGCCTGGTCGAGGTCTGGGCAGACGGTCCTCCACCGTCCAGCCAATCGGGGGGAGGGGGGGGCTGGGGGGGCCCTCGTAGTGGGCTGAGAAGGGAGGGGCCCATTCCAATCACCAGGGAGGCCTGACTTTTGTTAGTGAGGCCTGGGTGTTCCTGAGCCCGGGTGTCTGAGGGGCAGCGCCCGGGCATGGCAGGGCCTGAACACGGACATGCCAAGCGGTGTGCACCGCCTCCACTGCTTGGTAGCTTGTCCCCAGGTGTCCTCTGATCGCCCACTGTCCCTGAGCTTTGTCAAGGGCCTTTCTCCCCCAGCAGGCACTCCCCGGCCCCCTCCCAGCTCCCCGGGCACACGGCACAGGGGGCTCCCCAGCAGGCGTGGGCTCGGGGGGTGTCCCAATGAACAGTGTCCTGGGCAAGAAGGCTCTTCCACGTGCTGTGGGCACCACCCACTCACACCCGGGCATCCCTCCCGGTGTCCAGACCCCTGTCCCGAGGTGTGAGCGGGTAGTGCCCTCTGTCTTGGGGTAAGGCCCATTGTCCCCGTTTTATTTTTATTTTTAAATTTTTTCAAAAAATATATATTACTGATTTTTACCGAGAGGAAGGGAGAGGGATAGTTAGAAACATCCATCAGCTGCCTCCTGCACGCCCCCTACTGGGGATGTGCCCGCAACCAAGGTACATGCCCCTGACCGGAATCGAACCCGGGACCCTTTAGTCTGCAGACGGACGCTCTACCCACTGAGCCAAACCGGTTAGGGCTGTTTTTAAATGTTTTGGTTTTTTTTTAATTGATTTTAGAAAGGAAGGGCGAGGGAGAGGGAGAGAAGCATCCGTGATGAGAGAGAATCACTGATGGGCTGCCTCCTGCACGCCCCCTACTGGAGCTGGAGCCTGCAACCCGGGCGTGTGTCCTGACCGGGAATGGAACCATGACTTCCTGGTTCGTAGGCTGACGCTCAACCCGGGAGCCACACCAGCTGGGCCGATGTCCCCATTTCACAAAGGAAGACCCCGAGGGGGCTCTCCCCCCGGAGCCCCGGCCCCCCTCCGACCCCATGGCAGCCGGCAGAGGGCCGAGGGCCACGCCAGGCCCATGGCAGCCCGTGTGCAGGCCTGGAGGCGTCCCTCTGACCCACTCTCTCCGGAGCCGAGAGCAGGATCCGGGCCCGCCGTCCGTGACAGGCAGGCGGGGTCACGTGCGAGCCATATGGCCGGGCCGCTGGCCAGCCAGGGCCTCTCCGGCTCCAGCTCTTGAGTCCAAGTGGTCCCAAGGGGTTGTGAGGAAGGGAAAATCCAGCCCCCGTGTGCTTTGCCTCATGAGAGTGGGAGCGGGGACGGCAGAAGGCGGGAGCGCACTGAGCCGATCTGCCCGGCCAGGACCTGCTCCCTCCACACTCCCTGCTCCAGCCTGGGCTTGTCTGAGGTCCGGGAGCACCCTTGCCGCCTCGGGGGTCCGAGCTGCCAGCGTCCGGACCGGGGGACTTCAGGAGCAGGTGGCTGCTGCATTCACGCTCTCTGGGACCCCCAGTCCCGCCCACAGGGCTGCGGCTCCGGGGCCCTCCTGTGGGGGAGCCCGGGAGCCTGGGGCTCCGAGGCCAAGCGGAGGCTCGGGGCCCCTGGGTGCTGCTTCTCGCTCTCCTCTCGGCCGCTTTGTTCTTGGCCTCCTCCTTCTGGCTCTGGGGCTGTGGCCAGGGCCCGGTTTTCGCCCCCTCCCTCCTCCCTCCCTCCTCCATCCACGGTGCCCTCCGAGCAAGCTCTGGCAGGCCCTCTGGCCACGGGCTCCTGTCTGTGTCTCCGTCCCGACACCCATCTATCTGCCTGTCTGTCTCCTGCTCCTGGAGGCAGGACCGTGGGGGGCTGTGGCGGGAGGAGGACTCGGGAGTCCTCCCACCCCGTACTGACAAGCCCTCCCACCCGTGCGGTCCTGGCAGTCAGCCCCGCCCAGGGCAGGTGGCGGCCGGTCTGTGTTCCTGTCCACGTGCCGTGTCTGTCTGTCTGTCTGTCTGTCGCTGCGTCCTGGTCTGTCTGTCCCTGGCACACGCACACCTTTCCCTTTCCTCTCTCTTTCTTACTCTGGAGAGGGTTTGGGGTTCAAGGACAGCATGCTCCCCTGAGAGTCGTGTTTTACGGGGAGGTAGCCCGACTCCTTCCCAGCTGTCACCAGAGAACCTGTGACCTTTCTCAGCCTCGATGACCTGCAGGCGGGCTGTGGAGAAGGCGTCACCCGTCAGGCCTAGCACCCGTGCTTTGGAGGGAGTATTCGGTGAAAGCTGCTTTCCTGAGTTCCCATCCAGGCACTTCGGCCCCCCCGGAAGCTGCCCCAGAGTCCCCCGGCTGCCCCCACGCTGCTGCCCAGGCCTCTCCCGGCCCCCTCCCCTCCGCCAGCACCCCCTCCCGTCCCCGATGGTGCGATGGTGCCGTCGCCCTGCCGGGACCGCCCTCTCCCCAGCCAGGGTGGACCTCTGCCGCCCGGCTGATCGGCCGCTACTTTGCTCATAGGTGGGCGGCTCTTTGGCAGCGGGAGGTGCTCGAGCCTGGCGGGGCCGCCAGGCGCGGACCCCGTGGTGCATAGGATGGTGGAGGCCATGGCCCGGCTGCAGGAGGACAAGGCCCGGCTGCAGGAGGAGCTGGCGGCCCTGCGGGAGAGGCTGGCCCTCCGGGACGGTGACCAGCAAGCCGCCTCCGCCCAGCTGCAGAACCAGGTACCCGGGGAGGAGGGGACTGGCAGAGGCCCCTGCCCGCCGCGGGGCAGGTCGGAGGACGTGGCTCCAGTCACCCGGAGCCCTCCAGGCTGCCGGCCTGATGGACAGCTGGCCACTCCTCTCCGGGCTCGGGAGCACACGAGCGGGCGAGGTGGCGAGAGTCAGAGGCCTGGTCCTCCCGGTGCCCGTTCCTCATGGTCCCAGGGCCCGGACCTGCCTCCCCAGAGGGACGGGCAGGCGTGAGAGCAGCAGGAAGGTGCAGGGATGCTTCCCGCCCGGAGTCCTCCACCCCGTGTGCTCGGCAGCCCGAGTGGACAGAGGTCATTGCCGAGGTCACCCCCTGGAGCACTAGCCGGAAAGGGAGGCTGGTGTGGGTGCAGGTGGAGAGGGGGCTCTCACACCGCTGGAGGCCAGGGAGAGCCAGGCTTAGGCTGTGAGCGGCGTTTTCTCCGTTCGAAGGCCAGGGGGACGCTCAGGGTCTCAGAGCTGCCCGCCCGGCGGGGCCGGTCACCACCCCCCCTCTGGGTGCCTGGCTGTTTCCCTTCTTCCCCGTACGTGGGCGCCCGGGCCCCTCTCCTGGGGCTCCGCTCCGCCCTCCCACTGTCCTGTCTGTGTCTCGTGCCTGTGTCTGTCCCTCCCCACTTCCCCACGGCCCCCACAGTCCGCTGTAGGGTTTATACTAACGGGATCCGCCTCATCGTTGCTTAAAGCTCCCCTGCGTTGGGGCTGGTGCTGGGCCCCGTAGTGCCCACATCTGGCCCACAGCCCCCGAGCACGCTCAGCTGCCCCTCCCTCCTCTCCCCCGGTGTGGACGGCTCAGGCTTTCTCCACCTCTCAAACCGCGTTTTGTTTTTGAAGAGCTTTACCGCCATAGCATCCCTCACCGTAAAACCCGCCCCTTTGGAGGTGTGCAGCTCCCGGTCTGGGGTGTGTGAGGGCGGCGAGGCAACCACCACCTCCCGCTAATTGCAGAACCTTTGCGTCACCCCCAAAAGATGTATTAAGTCACTCCCCCGCCCCCCAGCTCCTGGCAGCCGCCCGTCTGCTTTCTGTTTTATGGATTCGCCTGTTTTGGGAACATTTCATGTAAATGAAGTCATCATCATCATCAGTGGCCTTTTGTAACTTTCAACAAGTTGGATTTTGTTTATTTTTTTTATATATTTTTTCCCCTTAATTAGCAAAATCTCTTTACTTCTTGGCGGGGAAGTTGAAGGGGAAGCATCGCAGCCTTTTCGGTTCTCCCAGCCCCAGCCCTGCAGACACTCCGGGCGCCCCCCCACCCCGGCTCCCCACCACCCTCCCGGCCCCCAGCCCTCTGGGCCCTTCGGAGAAATGCGAGTTCTGAGTGGTGCCTGGTCTTTGCTCACGTTGGTTTATCCTCGGGCATTCTTTCTTCTTAAAAAAATATTTTTTAATTGATTTCAGAGAGGAAGGGAGAGGGAAAGAGAGAGAGATACATCAATGATGAGGGAGAATCAAGGATCGGCTGCCTCCTGCCCGCCCCACACTGGGGATCGAGCCTGCAACCCCGGCTTATGCCCCAACCGGGAATCAGACAGTGACCTCCTGGTTCATAGGTTGACATCCAACCACTGAGCCACACTGGCCGGGCTATCCTCAGACCACCTGTCAGCTCTTTTCTGCTAATCTCTCCGTGGCTGCGCCTCAAGCTCCGGTCCCTGAGCCTCTCTCCAGAGCAGTGGTTCTCCACCTTCCTGATGCCGCGGCCCTTTAATGCAGCTCCTCAAGCTGTAGTGACCCCCAGCCATAAAACTGTTTTTTGTAGCTACTTCATGCCTGTAATTTGGCTGCTGCTATGAATCGTAACGTAAATGTCTGTGTTTTCCGATGGCCTTAGGCGACCCTGCTAGCGATTCTCCGCCTGTGGGCCGGGGTCACCGCCACACGAGGAACTGATTCAAGGGTCGAGGCATTAGAAAGGCTGAGAACCCACTGCTCTAGGGTCCCATACCCTATGGAGCTGTGGCCAACCCTGTGGGCCCGGAGCCGGGTTCGAATCCCGATGTTGGCCCTCCTCATGAGCTGTGTGACCTTGGCCTAGTTCACCGTCACGCTGCACCTCAGTTTCCCCGTCTGCACAGCGGACACGACGCCGGGGCCCGATGAGATGGCCCAGGTCTGTGGGTGCCCCCACCCCTCTTCCCAGGGAAGAGTTTGGCTTTGGATCGGGGGCGGGATTCGGGTCCGGGCTCCCCCAGGCGCTGGCCGTGCAGTCACAGGAAGTCACAGGCTGAGAGCGTGGCTTCCAGGCTGCTGGGCAGGTCAGAGTGAGCGTGGACGGGAACAGGGATGGCGAGCTGTACAGCGCTGTGCCCTGGGAGGGTCCCTCCTGCGCGCTCCCGTCTCCTGCCGGCCTCGCTGTGGTCTGACCCGCGGTGACCTTCCTGGCCTCCTCCACGCTGACCCTCTAAGGAAAGCCCGTCCGGGGTCCCTCCACCTCGTCGCCGTGGTGCCTGGCCCCCAGCCTCGCCGTGTGAGCGCGGCTCTTCCTGAACGGCAGGCGGCGTTAAGGGTGGTTGAGTGAGGGCGCGGCCCTGGCTGGCGTGGTTCAGTGGTTAGAGCATCGGACCTCGCACCGAAGGGTCTCGGGTAGGATTCCCTGTCAAGGGCATGGACCCGGGTTGCAGGCTCGTTCCCCAGCCCCAGTTGGAGCGCGTGCGGGAGGCAACCCATCAATGTCTCTCTCTCACGTCGATGTTTCTCTCTCCCTCCCTCCCTATCTCCTTTCCACTCTCTCTCTCTCTTAAAAAGAAGAAAAAAAAAATCAATGAAAGAACTATCCTCAGGTGAGGATTAACAAAACAAAAACATCGGGTGAGGGCTGTGGGGGTCAACCTGGTGGCGGCGACTGAGTTACAGTCCTAGGTTTGCCCCTTGGTGGGCAGGTGACCTCGAGCAAGTTGCTTAACCAAGGCTTGATCTCTTGGAACCTCAGTGTTCCTCCCTGTGAAATGGGCATAATGGGGGTCCCTGCCTCAGGCTTGGGGGGTTCAGAGCTGCTGTTATGATGACAGCCCTCCCCGCCGGTGAGGCCGACCCAGCGAATGGGGCTCCTGAGGCTGCAGGAGACCTTCCAGGCCTCCCCCGGGGAGTGTCGGATGGAGACTTTTGTGGGAGCACTCGGCCCGAAGGTCCGCTTCTGAGTCCCCGAGCACCTGGCTGACCCAGGCCACAGAGGCCACGGGGCTTGGTCTGGCCACCACGGGGGCCGTGGCTACAGAGGATGCCCTCCCTGGTGATGTCCTAGTGGCTTCAAGCTCCCCCTCCTCTTGGGGGCGTCCCTGGAGCCGGGGCCCAGCAGGCAGAGGAGGAGGAAACCCAGGGGCGTGGGCGAAGCCGAGCCTGTCCACGGTTGTCCGGAGGGTAGGGTGGTGTCTGTATTGGAACCTGGCCCCTCTGGCCTGGGGGTCCACGCTTCCCACTGCCCCCAGCGGAGGCAGGGCCGGACGGACCCCTCCCAGAGGTCACGGAGCCCGGAGTCGGGTCTCCTGGGAGAGGGAGCGGGTTGGGGACAGCGTGGGGCTCTCTCTGGGGCTGCCCCTCTGGCCTCTGGGCCGTCTTCCTGAGGCCCAACGGCTCCCAGGCCCTCTCCCCTCCCCAGCTTAGTGACGCCCCTCCTGGCCCCTGGGAGCCTGCCTTCCCTGAGGAGGCGGCTGAGGCTGGGCCGGCGAGGCAGGAGGCGAGCAGCGGGCCGTGGGCGTTGATGGGGGGCAGCTGGGAAAACACATCTGCGCGGGGCGGCCCCGGAGATGTAATTGTCAGGCCCCGGCTCTCTGCACCAGGCCCGTGACTCAGTTTCTCTGGCTGACACCTGTGCGGTCGGTCCATGGCCAGCCTGGTCCCTTCCTCCACCCTGGGGGTGACACCAGCGGGCCTGGAGCCCCACAGCTGCCCGTCGGGAGCCTGCCTCGTCCCGCCGCTCTGCATTGGGGTGCGCTGGCTGCCGGGCGGGTGCTTGAGGTGGTGATGGGGGCCTGCTGTGTGCTGGGCGCCTGCTGGGCCTGGGGCTGGTGATAGAGAAGGCCTCTCCCCCTTCGTACCAACGACGGAGAGCCATGGTGGGTAGTCCCTTCTCTCTGGTGAGGTTCACCCCCCGGCTCCCACTCTGTCCTCACTGCTTTGAGCAAGGCAGGCTGTGAGCTGGGGTGGACTCGGGTCCCAGGTGTGCCCTGCTCGCTGGTGTCTTCCGTCTGAGGACCTCTGGGTGCCTCTGGCTCTTTTTGCTCATTGTTTCCCTAACTCAGGGCCTCCTGGCACCTCCCCTAGCCTCCGGCCTTCCCGAAGCAGACCCCTGTGGGCAGCCTCTCATTTCCCAGCCCCCACAGGAGGCTGCCTGCCTGCCCGGGTGCCGTCACCCACCCCATGGACATGGAGGGTTCGCGCCTGCCCAGCCACCCCCGGTGTGGAGCTGTGCCCCTCACTGCCCTGGATACACCAGGGGGTGACTGGGCGTCTGACACTCGGACCACAGAGTCATTGACAGCCCCTCCCTCAGCCCCCCACCCGCACTCAGCCCCCGTGGGAGGCACCTGCGTGTGGGGCGCCCCTCGGAGTTCTAGGCAGAGCCCAGAGCACCCAGGATTCCGATTGTGATGCAAGAAGGAGGCCGGGGCCCGGCAGCGGGCGGGTGGCAGGTGTGCGTCCTGGCCCCCCCGGTAAATGCTGGGAAACCCCACTTCCGCTGCGTCGAGTCTGAGCGCCAGGCAGCACGCTGGGGACCAGCGAGGGCAGAGCACACCCAGCCGGCGCCGAGGACACGGCCCGTCTGGGCCGCCCGTTCACCAGTGGACCGTGCCGGGGTGACTTTTGGGGGAGGACACTGCGGAGGGGGGAGGGGACCCCAACCTTCCAAAGGGAAATAGAGCCGCCTGTTTTAGGGTGAAGGGCGTGCAAGAGGCATAGTACACATTCTTTGAGACTTAAAAAAAAAAAAAAATAACCGAAAAGCGTCAAGAATCGGTCCTACAGTTCTGTGGTCCGGGGACCTCCCCGCCGTGGTCCGGCTCGCACGGTGATGGTTCGGGTTTTCTCTGTGTGTGTGGAGACATGTTTCTCTGTGTCATCGGAAGCTCCCGGTAAACATCTGTGTGCCCCACGGCGGGCGCTCGGGGGACCCCCGATTCTGTGGTGCAGGCGGGAAACACCGCCTGGTGCAAACTGTTCCTCGTTCCCCCGTGGCCGTGGTCGGCAGACCGCGGCTCGCGAGCCACCTGCGGCTCTTGGGCCCCTGGAGGGTGGCTCTTCCACAAAACACCAGGGCCTGGGCGAGTCTGTTTGGAAGAAGTGGCGTGAGAAGAAGTTTAAGTTTAAAAAAACGTGCCTCTCCAAAGAAACTTCAATCGTCGTCGTCGTCCTGTTGATATGTGGCTCTGTGGACGGATGAGTTTGCCGACCGCTGGCCTGTGGGGCCAAGGCACTGAGCAGCCCTCCCATCAGGCTCATGGCAGACGGGGCGTCGGGAGCGTACAGAGTGGCATGAGCTTTTCCCCCTGCGTGGCCCATGGCCCAGCATATGGCTGGGGGGAGAGGGGGCTGTAGGAATGGACCCTCCGGCTCTCCTGGCTGAGCTTGTCCGCCCGGAGGACTTGGGAAGCCAGGCTGGGCCTGTGTTTTGGGATCCTTGTCCCCGACCATGAGTGACGGCGCTGTGTCAGGGCCTCGGCCTCAGAGGCGGGTGGAGCCCATGGCCGGCTTCCTCCCCCACCGACTCGGAGAGGCAGAGGCCCGACGGACACGTGGTCCAGCCGCCTGCTCCGGGCCCAGAAGCCTGAGCCCTGGTCCTGACGCCCGCAGACCGGTGGTGGCCCCTCAGCCACTCAGGCCGGGAGCTTTCACACACACACACACACACACACACACACACACACACACGCGCGCCCGCGCACACACACACGCGCACGCGCCCCGGGAACCACAGGGTCTGGCCTCCGGAAAGGTCGGAAGGCTGGGGACACCGAGCCTGTGTTCTCCCGGCCCCGTGGCTGCCTCCTGCAGGTGGCCTGGGGGGTCCAGTCCACACGGCCCCTCACCTGGCGGCCCCTGGAGGCGGGGGCTTGGTCACCTGCGGTTTGGCAGTGGAACACAGTGTTCCATCGCCGGCTGTGAAAGCCACATCCCGACCCCCCTCAGGGTGAGTCCAGAGCGTGGGGTGCGCTTCCCAGAATGCTCTGCAGGGAAAACCGCAAACGTGCTCACGTCCGAGTCAACGTGCTTGTGTGCATGCTGGGTTCTTGGCCAAGGAGAGGGTCTGCAGCCAGCTGGGGGTCGGCTCCCGAGGGGTCGCCATCCTGGGATCCGCCCGCTGGGGGCCTGGTTTCCCCGCCCAGGCCTCCCGCCGGGCCAGGTCACCCGTGCCTCCGGACGAGGTGCCCACCCAGCCGCAGCTCCTGCAGGGCAGGCTGGGAGCTGGGGTGGACGCGGTCCCAGGTGTGCCCTGCTCGCTGGCGGACCCGTCTCCGCAGGCAGCCTCACTGGGAACCACTCGACATGGAACGTTCCAGGGGCTGGGCAAGGACGGGCCCTGGCTTCCTAGCGCCTGCCATTTACACAGCCTGGGAGCCTTTTTTTAAAAATGTATCTGTTTCTTTTGTTTGTTTTTTAATATATTTTATTGATTTTTTACAGAGAGGAAGGGAGAGAGATAGAGAGAGAAACATTGATGAGAGAGAGTCATCGATCAGCGGCCTCCTGCACACGCCCCCTACTGGGGATGTGCCCGCAACTAAGGTGCATGCTCTTTATCGGAATCGAACCCGGGACCCTTCAGTCCGCAGGCCGACGCTCTATCCACTGAGCCAAACCGGATTCGGCCCGGGGAGCCTTTTAAGAGGAAAGAATAGAAAGTTACGGATGCAGAAGCAGGCGGGGGCCTGTGCCAGGCACGCCTCCTGAGGGGCAGCCCCCGGTGAGCCGCCCCGGCCTGAGCCGGGAAGGGGCAGGGGTTGCGGCATCTGCTGCGCCTGCCCGCAGGCTCGCCGGAGAGCTCAGGCCGCTGGGTCCTGGGTGGGAGCGGGCGCTGAAGATTGGCGGCCCGGCCAGGTGTCTCTGGCCGGGCGTCTCTGGTGGGGCCCGATGCTTGGGCTCGGGGAGGGCTGAGCCGAGGCCTGGGTGTGGGCTGGGGGGGAGCAGGGCTCATGGTGACCCCGGCTCTGTGCCGGCAGGTGGAGAGCCTGAAGGAGAAGCTCATCAGCCAGGCCCAGGAAGTGAGCCGCCTCCGGTCGGAGCTGGTGAGGCCCCCAACGCGTCCCTGGGGGGCGGGGAGGGGGAGGGGGCAGCAGGCAGGGGGGCCAGTGCCCAGTCTGGCCTCCAGACGTGGGGTGAGGGGTGTGAGCCCGAGCAGCCCCAGGGGGGCAGCGTCCTGTCTGGGAAATGCTCCTGGATAATACCACCTTCACAGGCCCTCCGAGGTCACGTGACACACAGGGGCAGGGGGTGCATGCTCCCCTGCCATGTAAGACAGGAGTGTGAACTCCAGGCAGGAGTGTGAACTCCGTATAAATAGGACTTGTGACTTTCACACTCGGGAAAATGATGGGGGTGATGGGGGCAGGGTGCTGCCGCCGCAGCAGTTCCTGTCTCACCGCCCTCTCCATCTTCCTCTCCTGTCTTTACCTTTACCTCTTGATTTCCTCCTCTCCCTCACTCGCCTTCCTTCCTCTTTTCTCCTTCTGTCTTTCTCCCCCCATCCCCCCACCCCTTGCACACACTGTGCCCGCCCCCCTCCTCGTTCCCCCCCTGACGGGCCCTGGCCACATGCCCCCGTGCGGACCCCGCAGGGAGGCACGGACCTGGAGAAGCACCGGGACCTGCTGATGGTGGAGAATGAGCGCCTGAGGCAGGAGATGCGGCGCTGCGAGGCAGAGCTGCAGGAGCTGCGCGCGAAGCCGGCGGCGGCCCCCTGCGCGGGCTGCGAGCACAGCCAGGTGGGCACGGGGCCTGGGGTTTCCCGAGGGCCCACTCCTAACGGGCACCAGCTCCTCGCGGGGACCCTGCGGGCCTGTCCTCCTGCCCGTCGGCCTCACGCAGGGCCTGTCCCCCCGCCTGCAGGAGAGCGCCCAGCTCCGGGACCGGCTGGCGCAGCTGCAGCTGGAGGCGGCGGAGAACAAGAGCCTGCTGTCCGAGCTGAACCTGGAGGTGCAGCAGAAGAGGGACCGGCTGGCCGAGGTGGAGCTGCGGCTCAAGGACTGCCTGGCCGAGAAGGCGCAGGAGGAGGAGCGGCTCAGCCGGCGCCTGCGCGACAGCCATGAGACCATCGCCAGCCTGCGGGCCCAGTCGCCGCCCATCAAGGTGGGTGCCCGGGCTGGACCTCAGCGATCACGTGGGCCCCGGTGCCCGGGGCAGGGCTGGCACTCAGGAGCGGGTGTGAGGGGTGAAGGTGGCGCTCTGGGTCTGCACTCAACCAGTCTCTGGCCTGTCTCTTGCTTCCCAGGGCCAGGCATGTGGTAGGCATCCTGCAACTGATGCTTGAGATGCCCACCGCAGGCCAGGCAAGAACATAGGGCATCGCTGGGTGCCCCCATCTTTGCTCTCCTCTGCTCTGTGCCGAGGCAGGGGCCATAGCAGGGCTCGGAGTGGCTCCTTAAGAGGAGGAGACTCGCCGAGGCCTGTTTGGCTCAGTGGATAGAGCGTCGACCTGCGGGCTGAAGGGTCCCAGGTTCGATTACGGTCAAGGGCATGTACCTTGTGAGGGGTGTGCAAGAGGCAACTGATCGATGTTCTCTCATCGATGTTTCTGGCTATCTCTCTCCCTTCCTCTCTGTAAAAAATCAATAAAATATATTTTTTAAAAAGAGGAGGAGACTCTGGGAGGCCCTGGCAGCCATGGGGAAGCCAGGACCTCGCCGCATCTCTGTATTTTTCAGGGGCTCTTAGTGGGATGTCCCCGAGGGTCCCCTCCACAGGCCAGGGAGTCTCAGGGCCTCGGAGCGAGGCCGAGGCGCACTCACACTCCGTGCTCCCCTCCCTTCCTCCCTCGCTCGCCCGCCCGCAGTACGTCATCAAGACGGTGGAGGTGGAGTCGTCCAAGACCAAGCAGGCCCTCAGCGAGTCCCAGACCCGGAACCAGCAGCTGCAGGAGCAGGTGGCCATGCAGAGGCAGGTGCTGAAGGAGATGGAGCAGCAGCTGCAGAGCTCGCACCAGCTGACGGCTCAGCTGCGGGCACAGGTGTGCAGGCCGCGGGGGGTGGGGGTGGGGGGTGGAGGTGCGCGTGGGGGCGCATGGCCGTGGGGCAGGGCGTGCCCGCAGCGGAGGCCACAGCCCCGGGCTCCGGGCCCTCCTCTCCCCGCCGACCGCGGGAACAAGGGCCGGTTTGGTGGGAGCCTCCGTTTCCTCATCTGTAAAGTGATGGGATCCCACCTCATAGTGCGGCTCAGGGGCTGTCTCACAAGAGGTTCTGCTCACAAAGGCCCAGGGCCCCGCACACCCGCTCTCGGAAGGGAGCTCTCGCCAGTGTCACAGCCAGGCAGTCCACTGTGTGGAGCCAAGGGTTCCAGGTTGCACACCTATCATGTGGGCTGGGGGGGAGCAGGGCTCATGGTGACTGCACACCTATCATGTGCTCGGACCCGGGCCGGTGCCGGGGCAACGCAGGGAGGAAGCTGCATGGAGCTCATGGCTCTGTGGGGGGAGAGATGTCCATCCTGCCCCTCTCCTGTGTGTGTGCGTGTGCGTGTGCGTGTGTTCAGGTGTGTGTCGGGGGACGGGTAAGAAGAGACAGGGCTTCTTTTTGGTGCGCGCACACACACACACACACACACACCGCCCCATGTACTGAGCCTCCGGCCTCGGCCGCCAGATCGCCATGTACGAGGCAGAGCTGGAGCGGGCGCACGGGCAGATGCTGGAGGAGATGCAGTCCCTGGAGGAGGACAAGAACCGGGCCATCGAGGAGGCCTTTGCCCGGGCCCAGGTGGAGATGAAGGCCGTGCACGAGAACCTGGCAGGTGAGGCCCCCCCTCCCCCAGGCCCCGGGCCCCGGCCGGCCCCCCCCCGCCGCAGCCCCCACCCCATGCGTGCGCCTGACACCCCACCCGCCCGCCCGCCCGCCCCCAGGCGTCCGGACCAACCTGCTGACGCTGCAGCCGGCGCTGCGGACACTCACCCAGGACTACAACAGCCTCAAGCGGCAGGTGCGCGGCTTCCCGCTGCTGCTGCAGGAGGCGCTCAGGGGCGTCAAGGCCGAGGTGAGTGCCCGCCGTGGGGGTGGCGCGGGGAGCGGCCTCCAGGCCTTGGGCACAGGCCGCATCCACCCAGGCGCTCTTCCAGAATGCAGACTGAGCCAAAACCGGTGTGGCTCAGTGGATAGAGCGTCGGCCTGCGGACTGAAAGGTCCCGGGTTCGATTCCGGTCAAGGGCATGTACCTTGGTTGCGGGCACAACCAGTAGGGGGTGTGCAGGAGGCGGCTGATGGATGTTTCTAACTCTTTATCCCTCTCCCTTCCTCTCTGAAAAATCTATAAAATATATTTAAAAAAATAAAAACAAAATGCAGACTGGGCCCCAGACATCTGTGCCCGCCTCTTCCACACACACACACACACACACACACACACACCACACACCACACACTGCCACCCTAGACCCTGTTTGAAAAAATATGCTCAGGGGCAGGCATTTTGGCGTTCTTTTTTTTTTTTTTTTTTTTTTTTTAATATATTTTATTGATTTTTTACAGAGAGGAAGGGAGAGAGATAGAGAGCTAGAAACGTCGATGAGAGAGAAACATCGACCAGCTGCCTCCTGCACACCCCCCACGGGGGATGTGCCCGCAACCAACGTACATGCCCTTGACCGGAATCGAACCCGGGACCTTTCAGTCCGCAGACCGACGCTCTATCCACTGAGCCAAACCGGCTTCGGCTTGGCGTTAGTTCTATTCCGACTCTCGAACCCAAACGTGCTACAGACGCCCTCCTATCCCCCACACACGCTGCGTGCATCCTCACAGCTGCCAGCTTGAATTTTTTTCTAAGTTTGGCAAGCTGCGCTCCACTCGATGTGAGAATGGCCAGTGTCTCTCGCATGCCACCCCCGCTCGGAGCCCTTCATAGGCTCCTTGAATCTTAGTGACGGCCCTGCCGGGCAGAGGCTGATATGTTTTTAGGAGGAGAAAATGGTTCTTCTTTCAAATATTATTATGTCAGCAAGACACGGGCATGGCGGAAAGAAGGGCATCGGAGGAGAAGGGAGGGACTCTGCCGCCCTGATCCCCGCAGGCGGCCTCCGTGCCGGCAGTTCCCGGGCGCCTGTGCCCTCTCACCCACCGGGCAGAGAGGGGCGTGTGCCCGGCGTCTCTCGCTGCTTCCCCCTGCGGAATGCAGCATGGAGATCTCTGCCTACCGGCGCCTACCGGCGCCTACCGGCCCACGAGTTAGATGGTGTTCGCCCCACTTTACAGATGGGAAAACCGGGGCTTGGAGACTCCGAGCCTGTTGCCTCGGGTCCCCAGCTACTCGGGCGGGGCTGGGATCTGGGTCCAGCGGGAGCGGAGGGCGAGGGCGGGTGCCGTGGCGGGAGGCTGAGACGCCGCTCTCTGAGTGGGCAGCCGGGCAACCTGGAACCCTTGGCTCAGCCTCTCGGGGGCTCCGTTTCCTTCTTTGAACAGCGGAACGGGTCGCAGCACACACACACACACACACACACACACACCCCGCCCCAGAGGAGACTCAGCCCAGGGCGGGGGACAGTGCTCCGCCAGCCGGGGGGCTGGCAGTCTGTGGAGCTGCCCCCCTGACAGTGCTGCGTGCCCCGCTTCCCCCCAGATCGGCCAGGCCATCGAGGAGGTGAACAGCAACAACCAGGAGCTGCTGCGCAAGTACCGCCGGGAGCTGCAGCTGCGCAAGAAGTGCCACAACGAGCTGGTGCGGCTGAAAGGTGACTGCGGGCGGGCGGGCGGGCGGGCGGGCTGGGGGCGGGGAGGGGGCGCCGGCACAGGGTCCTCTGCCTGGCTCAGGGGTGATCCTGTCCCTCCCCACGGCCCCTGCCACTGAGGAGCTACTGTCTTTCCGTCTTGGAGGATAGAGCAGTGGAGACATTGCAGGCAGGGCCTGGCTCACCCCCAGGCCCGGGTGGGGAGTGGCTGCCCTGCCACCTGCTCACCCCACGAAGGCCTAGGGGGCACCTGTCCTGTGCCAGGTGCTGCTCCTGACACGGATGGAGGCCTGGCCGTGGGCCCACAGACGCCATCCCCGCCTCCCGGCGCTCACTTCCGCTGGGAGGGCAGACCATGATCCTCCATCAGCCAGGGAACCCCGATAGGGGTCCCGTTGCCAGGGCTGGGGAGGAGGGGTGTTGGGGGGCGTCCTGGAGGAGGCAGAGCTAGATCTGAGACCTGGGCTGGGAGTTGGCGTGGACGGGGAGAGGGGAGGTGGGCCCAGGCGAGCTGTGGTGGGGAGTCTTCATTCCAGGGGCACCGGGACCCCACCGAAGGTCTGGGAGATCCGTGCCCCAAACACCCGCCCCGGAAGGCAGCCTCTCTGCCGGCCAATCCCAGGGCGTACCCCCTCCTCCTCACCACCCGACCCCCACAATTTCCCCCTGTCCCCAAGGGGCAGCTCCCACCCCCAACTGGTTTGCGCAGGAAGGAAATGTCCCAATAAGGGAATTCACACTATAGTGTGAGTGACTGATACCAGCTGGGTGGCCCTGGGGGCCTTTCTTAGAAGGCAGGAGGCTCCTGAGCTACCAGCCGGCTTAGGATTCCAGCGGGCACCAGCGTGGACGCGGTCTGGTCTTGACCCAGCCTGCCCCCTTTCTCCTCCCCCGCCCCCGCCCCAATCCAGGCAACATCCGGGTGATCGCGCGTGTCCGGCCGGTCACCAAAGAGGACGGGGAAGGGCCGGAGGCCACCAACGCGGTGACCTTCGACCCCGACGATGACTCCATCATCCACCTGCTGCACAAAGGGAAGCCCGTGTCCTTTGAGCTCGACAAGGTCTTCTCCCCGAGGGCCTCGCAGCAGGACGTGAGTGTGGCTCTCGGGTGGGGTGGGGGGAGAGGGGGGGACACAGAGACACTCACCAGGAGAGGGAGAGATGGCCGGGGGTGGACAGAAAGCAGTGTGAGCATGGCAGGGGGAGACAGGATAGAGAAGCCTGGGTGTCGGGGTCCCTCTCTCCTTCCCTCTGGAGAGAAGAGGGTGGGAAGCCAAGACTGAGGGGCCTTGGAAGCTTCTGCTGGGAAGGAGAGATCCAGGCACAGTCCCGCCCACCCACCCACGTGGCCCCGCCCACCCACGTAACCACGCCCACCACCGAAGCTCCGCCCACCCACGTGGCTCCTCATATCCGCCTGACCCTGGCCAGCTTTGAGCCCGGTCCTTCCAGCCTGTGGGAGGCCTGGGGTCTCAGCACCTGCTCTATCTCTGCCAGCGCCAACCTGCCAGGCCTGTTGGGCCTGTGCTTTGCTCCGTGCCCAGCCCTACCTTTGCCCCCGTCCTCTGCCCACTGTCAGGCAGGCAGGCAGGCAGGCGGAGGAGGTGCCAGGCATGCGACTGGCCTCTGTCTTCCTTTGGCTGCACCCTCCAGGGGTGGGGGCGGGTCCCTGCGCCCCAGGGCTGGGCGGCCCTCCTTCGGGTGTTGTTGGCGGGCAGCAGGCACTGCCCTGTCTTCCCATCTGTCTCTCGGCAGCGAGGTTACCATCTGTGTCTGGAGCCACTGACTCGGTAGTCACGATGGCTCCCCAGGGAGCTGGTGTCCACAGTCACGTGCCGTGTGTGATTGCCAAAGGAGGGAGCGGTCAGGGGGAGTGGCCGGATGAGGTGCTGGCGGGGACCCTGGTCCCAGCAGCCCCACACCCTCCATCCATCCCGTGCCCCCTCTCCAGGTCTTCCAGGAGGTGCAGGCCCTGATCACCTCCTGCATCGACGGGTTCAACGTCTGCATCTTCGCCTACGGCCAGACGGGTGCTGGCAAGACGTACACGATGGAGGTGGGTGCCTGCTGCCGGGGGGGGGGGGGGGGCGCGGCCTCAGGCAGTGAGGACCCCCCCTTGCTGCCACGGGTCAGGGCTCAGGGTTCTGCGTCGTGTGTTTTGCCTCACAACCTCCCCAGGCGCTGGGGCCTGAAGGGCACTGGGATGGTCCCAGTGGTAGGAGAGGCCGGGGTGACCACAACCACCTCACACCATGGTCGGCAAACTGTGGTTCTCGAGCCACATGCGGCTCTTTGGCCCCTTGAGTGTGGCTCTTCCACAAAACTTGCCACAGCCTGGGCAAGTCTATGTTGAAGAAGTGGCGTTAGAAGAAGTTTTAAGTTTAAAAAAATTTGACTCTCAGAAGATATTTCCGTCGTCCTGTTGATATATTTGGCTCTGTGGACTAATGAGTTTGCCGACCACTGGCTCTAGGGCAGTCGGGCAGGGTGGTACCATTTTAAAGGTGGGAAACGGAGGCCCCAGGAGGCGGATGAAGTTGCTTGCAGTGGGGAGAGAGGAACTGGGGACAGAACAGCCTGCAGACGGAGGCTCCGGGCGGGGAGGCTGGCCTGCCTGCGAGGGGCAGCTGGGGGCGCTGGGGCCACAGGCGCCCTGTGAGCATCCGCACGGGCCACCCCTCGGGCGGGAGGGGCCCAGCTCACGGGGCCCTGCTCCTGCCCCCAGGGAACCCCCGAGAACCCGGGCATCAACCAGCGGGCCCTGCAGCTGCTCTTCTCCGAGGTGCAGGAGAAGGCCTCCGACTGGCAGTTCACCATCACCGTCAGCGCCGCCGAGATCTACAACGAGGCCCTCAGGTTGGAGGCTCGGGGGGCTGGGGGGGGGGGTGAGGAGGGGGCGGGGAGGAGGGGGGGTCATCAGGTTGAGGGCCCTCAAGTGGCAGCCCTGGGGTGGCACATGCCCCCGGGAAGCTGGGTGGTCTCAGGACCGCGTGGAGCCAGGCGGGATGGGAGCGTGGAGCCTCCTTGAAGGAGGAGTCGGGGGCTGTACCCCAGGACTCCGCTCAGAGGCTCTGCTGGCCCCAGGCCCCTCCCCCATCGGCGGGCAGGGAGGAGGGCGCGCTCTCTGCTCTCCTGAGGGGTTCCTTTTCCCCTGGGAGCTCCCCCACTCGTGCAGGCCGCCCAGGGGCGATGGAGAGGTCTGTGGGGAGCCGGCGCACTGTGGGGGCAGGGGGAGCAGCCACAGGCCTTGTGGTTGGGGGACGATGGGTCTCCGCCCGTCAGGGGGCTGAGTGCAGGGAGGAGCTGGCGGGGGAGGGGCTTGGCCTGGTGTCCAGGAAGGGACATTCCGGGTTTGGGGCAGGTGCAGAGCCAGCAGACAGAGGAGGAGAGAGTGACTGGGGTTCCCTCCCTCCGCCCACCCCCGCCCCTGCAGGGACCTGCTGGGGCAGGAGCCCCAGGAGAAGCTGGAGATCCGGCTGTGCCCCGACGGCAGTGGGCAGCTGTATGTGCCAGGGCTGACGGAGTTCCGGGTGCAGAGCGTGGACGACATCAACAAGGTGTGGGTCGGGGGGACGGGGCGGGGCGGGGCGATGCGGGGGGACCCGCCCCGAGCCTTCCGAGCCTGTTTCCTCCTCGTACAACACAGAGGGCGACCCCCCCTCCAGGGTGAGGTGACCAGACGTCCCGCTTTTGAACAATTTGTCCTGCGACGTCTTAAAAAAAAGTCCCGATATTTGGAAAGTATCTTTTCCATCTTTTGGACTTTTTTTTTTTTAAAAAAAAAACACCGTGGGATGCGGGACAAATGGTTAAAAATCGGGACTGTCCCGCCAAAAGCGGGACGTCTGCTGGCCACCTTACTCCAGGGGCAGCTGGGGACGGGGCGATCCCAAGGCCCCCCCTCGAACCCTGTACCCTCTCGCCCGCCCCCAGGTGTTCGAGTTCGGCCACACCAACCGCACCACGGAGTTCACCAACCTGAACGAGCACAGCTCCCGCTCGCACGCCCTGCTCATCGTGACGGTGCGCGGCGTGGACTGCAGCACCGGCCTCCGCACCACGGGTGAGTGAGGGCCCGGGCGGCCCGCCCAGCCCCCCGACACCCCCCCCACCTCCACCCCCCACCCCCCACCCCCGCCTCCGGGCCGCCCTGACCTCCCCGCGCCCGCCTCGCCCTCCCTCCCGCAGGGAAGCTGAACCTGGTGGACCTGGCCGGCTCCGAGCGCGTGGGCAAGTCGGGGGCCGAGGGCAGCCGCCTGCGGGAGGCGCAGCACATCAACCGGTCGCTGTCGGCGCTGGGGGACGTCATCGCCGCGCTGCGGTCCCGCCAGGGCCACGTGCCCTTCCGCAACTCCAAGCTCACCTACCTCCTGCAGGACTCGCTCAGCGGCGACAGCAAGACCCTCATGGTGGTGCAGGTGAGGGCCTGGGGGGCCCCGGGCTGTGCAGGGAAGGGGCCCTCGTCCTCAGCAGCTCCGAAGTCAGTGACATGCACCCCGGCAGGGCCCCCCACCCCCACCCGTGTGCCTCCCAAGTTTAAGGTGACCAGATTCTAGCATTGGTAAAGCGGGACACCATTGACAGGGGGTGCGGGGGTGGAGGGGTGTCTTGATTAAAACTTTGGTCTATATGGAGCAACAAAGACTTTCATAGAACGCAAAAATAGTGTTGTAATATTTTTTAAAACGCCGCGGGCCGCGGGACAGATTGTTAGAGATCGGAAAATCGGGACTGTCCCACCAAAAGCGGGACGTCTGGTCACCTAACCCAAGCTCCTTCCTTTGGGCCAGCGTCCCCCCGGCCGTGAGCGCCCTCCGGTGGGCACGCTGCTCCTCCCGTGCTGTGGGGGCAGCTGGCTTGGGTGGGGTCACAGTGAGCCCGCGTGCCCCCTAGGTGTCCCCCGTGGAGAAGAACACCAGCGAGACCCTCTACTCCCTCAAGTTTGCTGAGAGGGTGCGCTCCGTGGAGCTGGGCCCCGGGTCCCGCAGGGCAGAGCTGGGGTCATGGTCCAGCCAAGAGCATCTGGAGGTAGGGGGATGGCACAGGGGCCGGAGGGAGAGCCTGGGAGGGGGTGACAACTTGGGGGGGTGGGAGGAGGTGCCAGAGGGGCTGGAGCCAAAACTCGAACCCAAACCCAGCAGCAAAAGGGAGTCCTTGGCCTCCGAGGTGCCCGCGGGGCCCTCAGCCGGTGGGATGGGCAGGCGCAGGGGCACAGGTGCTCAGCGTTGGCTAGCTCAAGTCTTTCCACGTGTTACCTGTTCACCTCTCCAATAACAAGCCGGGCGCGTCACGGCAGCCATTTTGCAGACGGGGAAGCAGTGTCAGGAGGCCGGGAGGGGAGCGTGGTGGAGGGGTGCGGGGAGCCCCACCCACCTGCGTCCCCTGCCCGCAGTGGGAGCCGGCCTGCCAGGCGCCGCCGGCCGCGGCCCGGGCCCACTCGGCCCCCGGCTCCGGGACCTCCAGCCGCCCTGGCTCCATCCGGCGGAGGCTGCAGCCCTCAGGTGAGCATTCAGGGGGTGGGCGGCCGGGGGGGGGGGGGGGGCAGGTGGTGAGCCACCCTCACGGGCCAGTCACCGCCACGGGACTGCCCTTACCTAGGCGGGCTTTTTAAAAGTCTCCCAAAACGCCTCCAGAGCCTGTTTCACAACCTGCGGTGGCTCTGGGCTTCAGCCAGGGCAGATGGTGCTGTGTCCGTTTCACAGAGGGAAACGGAAGGACTCCCCCCCACCCCCCACCCCCAAGGGCTCCCGTGGGCTGGTGACTTGGGCCCGGGATGTGAGTGTCCCTGGCTGGGCTGCAATACGCCGGTCACGGCAGCTCTGCGTCACCAGCCCTGAGCCTCAGTCCGTGGCGGAAAGGGCAGGGCTCACCCCACGACGTCCTAGATGAGGAGGGAGCCTGGCCAGGGCCTGGGGTCCAGGCCTCCAGCCCCCACTCGAAGAAAGGCCAGCCAGTGCTTGGGGTGCAGACAGGGCGGCAGGTCCTGGGGTCCCGGCCCAAGGCAGGCCTGCCAGTGAGACGCCTGTTGCTTTGATTTCAGCCTGAGGCTGGGGCGCCGTCTCCAGGTGAGTGTGGGCCCTCGGCCCGGGGCTGCCCGCACCTGGCCTTGCCGTGGGGTGTAGGGCTGTGCCGGGGGCCTGCCGCTCAGGGCTGGGTCTGTCCTGCTACCTGCTGTCTGTCTGTCTGTGTGCTTCTGCCCGGCTCCCTCCTGCTCTTAGCCGGAGGCTAACCAGCCCCCTCCCCCCTGCAGGGAAGTCCAGGCCGCTGCCTGTGTGATGGACGTGTCCGCCCTGCGTGTCAGGGGCTCGGTCCCGGGGCCTCACGGGCCTGCTCCCGCCGCAGCCAGGAGCCTGGGAGGCGGAGGCCGGAGGAGGCTCCTCCTGTGTCTCCCGAGATGAGAAACATGTTCCGAAGGAAACGGTGTCTCGGCTGTGCTGTTGGTGCCAACGACGTGGGCTGGAAGGGCAGGGCCGGCCCGCTCCACCTGGCAGGCCCAGACCCCCCGAGAGCGGTCCCTCATGGGGAGGGCAGCAGTGCTGGGAGGTGGCCTGGCCCGGGCTGGCCCGCCTCTCCCAGCCTGCAGGGCACCCTCTACGGGGATGACTGAGCAGCCCCCGGGAGGCACAGGGACTGTCGTCAGGCTGGGTGGTGGGCACCCTGGGGCAGTTCTCCAGGGCCACACCGGGCCTGGGAATAGTGTTCGTTGTGTACATAGCGCGACCGGCGGGTTATTTATGGCTGGCGGGAGGCCAGGGGGCGGGGACTCTGCCTCACCCACCCGCCTGGCACCAGACTCTCCTCGCTCACTGGCCTCCTGACCATAGCTCCTCTGAAAGCCTATTTAAGAACCTTTGGAAGCTTAGCCATTTTTAATATTAAAATAAAAGCCTTTTTACACACGTGTGGTCTTGTGAGCCCAGGAGCAGGGCGTCAGTGGTGCTGCTGGTTCCCGCTGCTGGCGGTCACCACAGCCCCAGGCCGGCCCTGAGTAAGGATCGCGTGGCCTGGACATCCACGATGGGTAGGACCGGTGCCCCCTCCCCTTGTCACTGATCCCTCAACGGTGTCGTCACCTCCGTCTTACAGGTGGGACATACAGGCTTCTCCTGGCTCAGCACCACCAGGCTGGGCCTGGCCTTGTCCACGTAGTGAGCTGGCCACAGGTAAGCACCACCCTCCCCTAGGGCTGCAGGGGTCCTCAAACTTTTTAAAGTGGGGGCCAGATCACGGTCCCTCAGAGAGCTGGAGTGCCAGACTATATGAACTAATTCCTACTGTAACACCTCGGCTGCGCTCACTGCCCAAAAAACCTGGCGGGCCGGATCAGACTCCTCTGAGGGCCGCATGTGGCCCGCGGGCCGTAGTTTGAAGACGCCTGGCTTACAGGATACCCCCCCCCCATGGGGGGGCTAAATTTGGTCCCAGCCTTGAGGGAGCCTGTGCTCAGTGGGGTCCCCCCTCCAACTGGAGCTGAGCCCACTGGGTCGGGTTGCTTATCCTGGCCACCAGCACTGGGGCTGCTGCAGGGAGTGAGGTGTGTTCAGAACCCACAGGGGAGGATGGGGGTGTCCAGCTCTGTCTCTGAAGGCCTCCGGGACGGGGGGGAGCAGGCTGGGCTCTGGGGCAGCACGGTGGTGGCGTGTCCTGGCACCCTGCAGTTGTTGGCATGGTGGCATCCACAGGACAGCTGGGAGTGTGGCTGAGACGGGGTGGTGGGGCTCACTCTCACCTATCTCCCAGCCCTGGGGGAAGATTTGCTACTTCCCCCAGATTAAGCCTGAATGGGCCCTTTCCTGTTGGCCTGGCGCTCTGCTGCCCCCTGCTGGCCACACAGCCTGGTGCAGGCCTCTGCCTGCAATCCTGCACCTGGGAAAGCCATGGCGAGATGCCCCTTTGGGCAAGAAAACCAGGGAATAGTTACAAATTTAATAAAGTTTCTTATAAATTACAGCGGCAGCCCCAGGGCTCAGTTGGCTGCCCCACGAAGCGAGAATTGGGCAAGCTGGGCAGCCATAGCCGCACGGAAGTTGTCTGAGAGTTCAGGGCTGTGGAGGTGGCCAGTGGGCCAGCGCCGCCACCTCCAGGATGGCCACAGGGCAGAGGCTCATGGGCCGGTGGGTGCACAGGTAACGAGTTGGGGTGGAGGCCAGGCCCCAAGGGTTGCCCGGTGCCCCCACCCATTGGGGTCCTCAGTCCAAACTGGCCATGAGCAGGTGCAGCTCCCGGAAGGCACTGCCGTGGCGGCCGCTCAGGCCCGACTTGCTCCTGACGAGGCCGCTGATGCTCTTGAGCTGCTTGTAGCAGAGCCGGCACTTGAGCAGCCTGCGGGCGGAGGGCAGCACTAGCAGAGGCCCCACTGTCCCTGGGCCCTTCTGCCCTAACCTCTCCCGCCCGGCTCCCAGGCCATGCAGAGGGCACCAGGGCGCAGGGCACAGCCAGGCTGTGGAGGAACCCGGCTTTGGCTCCCCCCACCCTCCACCCTGCACTGGGGTCTTTGTCCAGGCACAGTGACCTCCTGCATAAGCTGTGCCAGCAGGGCCACCAGCAGTGGGCTGTGTGCCCTCACCTGGCCTGGCACCCCTGCCCCAACACAGGCACTGCCTGGCCCTCACCTCTCCTCCCGGCTGATGTCGACCCCCACAGGGGGCGGGGCGGCCAGGATGTCCGTGATGAGGGGCAGGAAGCGCTGCAGGATCAGCTTCAGGGAGGTGCAGCCTGTCTGGACGTAGCTGCAGAGGCAGGCGGGTGGATGCAGCCACAGCCAGGGAACAGCAAGTACAGAGAGAGGGGCAGAGGGTGAGAGGCAGCACCTTGGCCTCTGGAACTTGCAGGGGGCAGCATGGCTGCACAGCCACCTCCCGTGGGCACCACCTGGGGAGAGACCCGCCCAAGCCCCTCTGCCCTCCCCCTGGGAGGAGGGGCTTCGCGGCGTACCTCTCGTACTTGCTCTGCAGGAGCTTCTCGATCTGCGGCAGGACCGTGGTGCACAGGTCCAGCTTCCACAGGGAGCTGGGGAAGAGGCCGGGAAAGGTGCCCTCAGCACCCAGCCCTGCCCGCTCCGCCCGCCGCCCCGCTGCCACTTACGCTTTCTGGTTGACGATGTTAAGGAGGTCCACCACCACCGACAGGTCATTGATGGCTACGGCCGAGTCCACCGACGTCTGTGCAAACAGAGCGCCCGTCAGAGGACTGGGGGAGGGCCCTGCCGCCGTGTGTGGTGTAACAGAGCCCCCCGGTGTCCGCACAGGCCAGGCCCACGGGTGGGTGTGCAGCAAGTGGCGGCTTGTGATGAGGATGGGAGAAACGGAGTCACCCACGGTGTGGTGACGGCTGCCTCCCCCCATCGGCCGTTCCTGCGGCCCTCCTCGGTTCTGCCCTAAGCCCGGGGCGGGGGCAGGGGCAGGCGCTTGCCTTGATGTCGCCCGTGGTCCACACGGCCCTCACGGTGTCCAGGTTCTTGTGGCGGCTGGTGAGCACCACGCACATGGTGTCGTGGCCTTTGCGGATTTGCGACATGGCGTCCTCGTCGACCAGCTCTGTCTGCTGGGGGATCTTCACGGCCTGGGGGACAGGCCAGATGCTGGCAGCGAAGCTCTGCCCTCGCCCCCGGGCCTCCACCCACCCTCGGGCCGGGCCCCCACTCACAGGCAGGAAGTCGGAGGCCTTGAGCCCGATGGGCTCGTTGCGGGTGGCGGGGATGATGGCGGGCTCAGCCTTGGGCGCGGGGGTGGAAGTGACGACCTGGGGCCAGGGTGGGACCTCGAGCTGGAGGGGTCCGAGGCTCAGCGGGCAGCCGGCCGGAGGGCTCCCTCTCTGCCCCCCAGATGGGCAGCCCCTCACCCTGGCTCAGGGCTCCAGCCCCTCTGAGTCTCACACGCCCTCCACCCAGACATACGTTTGGCACCGGGAGTGGCGTGTCCGTGGCTGGGCTGGGCTTTGCTGCCTCCTTGGCTGTGGCCACGTCTGGGGGCGGGAGGAAAAGATGTGTCAGGAAGGAGGCGGGGCTCAGGGGGGATACTCTGGACGACACCTGTACCCGAGGGGACAGGGCAGGAGCCAGTGGGGAAGAGACGTCAGCAGTGTGATCCTCGGGAGGCCCAAGGGCAGGGGCTGGGCTGTCCCCCGCTTTCTACCTACCCAGCCCCAGGCCTGGCAGGAGGCAGGCACCTAGCCTGTGAATCGATGGGACCAGGGAGCTCCAGGCAGGGCAGTCCGCCAGCTCACGAGGCATGTGTGCCGGGGCGCCGGCGGTGAGGGGCTGACGAGCCACAAGGCCCCCCACCTACATCGGCCCCGCCTGTTCCTCCACAGCATGTGTCCCATTTCCGGGCTCATCTGTGGGCTTGAGAGGAGCACCTGCCTACCCTGTTCCCGCTCAACCACCAGGGACCAGCCTGGGGCTTGGCACACACAGTAGGAGCTTGGCACACAGTAGGAGCTCCTGAGCAAGCGGCAGGGGCTGAATCTGTGCGGGGAGGGGCTCCGAGGGGAGAGCACCGAGGAGCTGGGAGGCCAGCTCTGCCCCGCCCTGACTCACCGTCCTCGGGGGGTGCTGGGAAGGGCTCGCTTCTTCGAGGCGGTGTCCGACCTGCAGAGGGGACGGGTTGGGGACTCGTGTCAGCTGCCCAGGGCTCCTGTCTGAGTCCCTAGAGCTGGGAGCCTGTCATGAGGATGGGGTGGGAGGTGCACACCTGCGACCCTGTCCTGGCCCACAGACTCAGTCCCACCCCTGCCCACCCACTCGCCCCTGTGGCGGGCGGGCGGGCGGGCGGGCAGGGCACTGAGTTCCCGAGGACAGACTGGCCGGGCGTGGGGGTAGGAACGAAGGGAGCGGGGCTCCCGGTGGGAGCCGGGCCTCACTGATGCTGTTCTTGGGCTGGAAGATCTCGTTGTAGTCCTCGGCGTTCTGGATCTCCGCGCGGGACTCCCGCTCGTCCCGGTCGTCCTCGCTGCTGGGGCTGCGGCGCTCGCTCTCCGAGTTCTGCTTCACCCTGCGGGCAGCAGAGGAGGACGGCCAGTGAGGCCAGGCCGGGCCCCCCAAAGCTCCCCCAGGGAGCCCCCCGAGCCCCGAGCCCACCTCTGAGGCTTGCTGCAGGTGGTGCTGGGCCGCTCGTAGATGCGCCGGAGGGGGGCGGTGGGGAGGGGCGGCTGCTGCGCCAGGAGCCGGCTGTCCTGCACGGGGTCCTGGGCCACCGTGCCTGTCCTGGTGACCCGGGTCAGGTCCACCACGTATGAGGAGACGTTGCTCTGGGAGAAGGCCACGCCGATCTGCAGGAGGCGGCAGAGCAGTGGCTGGGGGAGGTGGGCAGGAAACCTGCAGGGCCGGGGGGGAGGGGGGGGTGCCTGCTGGGCTGGTGGGAGCAGCTGGGCAGACAGTAGCGGGGGAGGGGGTGCGGGCAGAGAGCTCACCAGCTGGTTGTTGCAGATGGCCAGGTCAGCCACCTTGCCCCAGCTGACGAGGACCATGTCAAAGCAGCGCTCGGGCTCCCAGCCGTAGACGCGCAGCGAGTCCTGGCAGCCGCTGTACAGGCAGCAGCCGTCGGGGTTGAAGAGGATGCTCCTGGGCAGGCGAGAGAGGCCATGGGTCCCAGGAGACTGGGGAGGCCGTGGGGAGCCCAGGACAGGAGGGAAGCCCCCCGCACCCACCCTCACCCCCTGGAAGGGCTGCCCCTCGCACCCACCCCTCACCTCCAGGAGGGCTGCCCCCTGCACCCACCCCTCACCCCCGGGAAGGGCTGGCCCCCGCACCCACCCCTCACCCCCCAGGAGGGCTGCCCCCCGCACCCACCCCGCACCCCCCAGGAGGGCTGCCCCCCGCACCCACCCCTCACCCCCTGGAAGGGCTGCCCCTCGCACCCACCCCTCACCCCCTGAAGGGCTGCCCCCCACCCACCCCTCA